AGAATTCTCCCTCTTTTTCTTTAGGCAACATTTTATATATAAGTGAAGCTATTGAAAATTTTAAAAAATGTTTCCTTTAATAGTTGTATATTTTGAAGGTCTTAACTGAAATAAATTTTTTAATACAGAAAAGCAGAAACTCTTCTGAATGGAAAATAAAATACTAGAATCAACAGTTTCCACTACCTTAACCAGATGTTCTTTCATCTTAAGAAAGGAAAGAAAAGTTTTTTTTTTTTCTCCCAGTGCTAAAAATTGAACCTAGGGATATTCCATTACTGAGCTATATCTCCAGGCCTCCCTTTTCTAATTAATTAATTTTTTTTTTTAGTTGTAGATAGACACAATACCTTCATTTTTATTTTTGTGTGGTGCTGAGGATCGAACCCAGTGCTTCACATGTGCTAGGCAAGCGCTCTGTCACTGAGATACAACCGTAGCCCATTTCTAGCCCTTTTTAAATTTGAGACCGGATCTTGCTTAGTTGCCTAGGCTGGGTTTGAGCTTTTGCTTCTCTTATGTTAGGTTTCCCAGTAGCTTGAGAATTCAGGCATATGCCACTGAAGCTGACTTAAAAAAGAATCTTTAATGTCTTGTAGGGTGTACAATGATATGACAGGTATATAAGAAAAGAATTTTAATGTCTTTGTAGGGCAAGGATATGACAAGGGTATGACAAACATGTTTCAGTTCATACTATAAATGATGCCTTCTAAGATGTGCTTATAAAATTTTTCTCATTACTTTATTGAAAACAGTGGAGTAATATGTTAATCTAATAGCTAAATTGTTTTTATACTATAAGCTTTACAATATACATAAAAATACAGAAGCACTGTAAAAAGTATATGGTTTTAAAAATGACTTTATTTTTAAACTGAACACAAGCAGCTGTTGAGTCACTTGAGCTTGGCTGTCTAATAGTTACTTGATAGGGAATTAGTAGATCATCTGTGTTTAATGTAGTTAATGACGGTATATGTCAGATTAGCCATAATAGTACTTAGTAATCTGAATTCAGAAAAATTAGAATTTCTACTTTCTGGTAAATAGGATTATGAGTATGAACATAGGTTTAAGTTTTTATCATTGCTTCATTGTGTGTTGGGGTACAAATTACCTGACCTCTTTGAAACCTTAGTTTCCTGCTTGTAGAAGTGGAGAGAATATTACATTTCTCACAGGATGATGCAATAAATGAATTGATAAATACTTATTAGGGTAGTGTTAGGCACGTGTTAAGGTTATTCATATTATTGTTACATAATTTTAACTATAATTTATCTGAATGTGTCCTGTATTTTGTTAACTTATTTCAGTTTCTGGCTTACTAGGTTTTAAATGTACATTAATAGATATTTTCAATGTATTTTCTTTCATCTCTCTTCTCTTGGGCTTTTTCAACAATGAAAGCTTATTGTCTATATTTTCTATAAGAGTTGTAGACACTGTTAGTGCTATTTCACTTCTGTTTTGAGATCACACACACAGAGCTGCTACGTCAAAAATCAGAAAGGTTGAAAACCAGGATCAAAGGACCGAAATATGTCTTCTCTTATAAAATAGTGACCTCTAAATGCTTCTCATTTTCATATTTGAAAGTTTTTACTTGTGTAAGTTTAAAAGAGTTACATAGCTGATAATATTAGTTTTATATAGCCTTTTTTTTTTTATTTAAGAGATTGAACACAGTGCTTTGTGCATGGTAAGCATGCAGTGTATCTCTGAGCTATACCCTTAGCCCTATAACAATATTTCTATTACTTAGATTTTAGAATTCATACTGGGATAGAAGTAAATTCAAATAGCAGTTATTTTAAAAATAACTATATTTTTAAAATTTTTATCAAAATATTTTAAATAAAAAAATAGTTGTCCCTTAAACCAACCCTTATTCTTTGTCAAATCATGATCATGAACAATTTTTGACTTTTTTAGCTTTTTCTCTGGTAGATAGTTCTAAATAATAGGCTTCTATGGTTTTACTGTTTTAATTTATGATGTTTAGATGTTACTTAATAATTTCTTATTATGGCAGGTTAGGATTTACAAATTTTGGTTAAGTAACATTCATTTTATTTATTATTAGGTAAATGTTGTTTACTGTTAAGTCAGGTAGGGAACTATAACATTTTCTTTCTAGAAGTAATTGACTTTGCTTAGTTTACTTTGTAAGAATCAGCAGTTCTTTCTATGTTTTATATTTCTGTAAGTATCTCTCAGTACTGTTTTCTACAAAGACACATTTGTTAAATAATCTTGTCAGTTTGTCTTTCTTTTTTTTTTTTTTCTTCCTTTAAACCTGGAGATTTCTTAGTGTCTGTCTTGTGTTTGACCTCCAATATTCTGGTTTCCACATCTTCTATTTTGGTTTATTCCATTGTTTTTGGGGAGGATATTGTTCAGCTCCCAGGTATGCTTTTCTTGAGAAAAGATGCTTTTTAATTTTTTAAAAAATTTGAAATCTTTCATAGTTAAGCATGTTTCTAAACTTATAACTGATGTGAATAATAGTATGGTCGAGAAGAGAATTTTGTATTTTAAATAGTTTACCTTATAGCTTTAAAGGCTTTTTACCTTTTAGATTTTGGTGTTACAGTTGAAGTATATCTTATCAATCTGATTTTAGTTTATCTTTTGAGATTTTATATGCTTGGTATTATGAAATTTTATTTTGTTGCTTTATTGACATTCTTATAATTTATTAGACTGGGGATTTGATGAGCCATTTAAATTTGGCTTTGTTTTATTCATTTTTACATGGTGCTGAGGGTCAAACCCAGGGCCTCATAAGTGCTAGGCAAGCGCTCTACCACTGAGCCATAACCCCAGCCCCTGGGGTTTGTTTTAGTATTATTTACTGATCCCTGTGTTGTTCCCCAACTTCTTCATTTTCTTTATGCTTACTTTCTGCAATGTGTCCTTGGATTGATCCACTGATTTTCTCATCTTTTCTATTTTCTTTTTATTTGTCTTTTCATTCTGTTTTCTGTCTTGTAGATTTTCTAAGCATTGTGTTTCTTCACATTGTCTGTTGAATTGTTGTGTCTTCTTAATATTTTAATTTCTTATTCTCTGAATATTTTCCCCTTGGGTTTCTATTGTTTCAAGGATATAATACCTTTTTTCCTCTCCTCTCTGAGAATATTAGCAATTCTAATATTGGTTTTTTTCTTTGGTGTTCCCTTTTTTTTTTATTTTTCTGGGTTTCTTTTAAAAAATTTTTGCTGTTTGGGTTTGTTTCTTCACTCTGTCTTAAAATATTGTCTGTCCATCTGTGTGTAAGGCTGAGATACTAAGATGTTGACTGGAAGCATTGTGTTTGGGGGCCAAATTTGTTGGATGTTTGGCTTCTTTGTACACCAAGTTTTCTTAATCTTGGCACTGTTTATATATGGACTTTATAATTGTTTGTTGTAGGGACTGTCCTGTGCATTATAGAATGTTTAGCTGTATCTCTGGCCTTTCCTCCCTAGGTAACAATAGTCCTTCCCATCCCTAGTCACAAAAATTGAAATATCTCCTGGGATTGCCAAATGTCCCACATGGGGAAAACATTCTTTGGTTGAGAATCACTCCATTGTAGGAACATTGCCTTGAACTGGATTATTTCATTAGGAACTCTACAGTTAATATCCTTAGGGCTAATATCTTTAGGGCTTTCTTTCTGGTGCCAGGCTATAGAGTGGAAACTTTCAATTTCTCATGAGGTTTGAAGCCTGGCTGCTGGATTTTGGGGACCCAAGAGAAATATGGAGTTAGAGGTTTTCACTTAGTTAATTTTTTCCACCATGGCTCCTGAACCTTGCTTGTACCTGTATTTCTTGTTTGCCAGTCTAGAGCCTCCATTTTCACTTTGTCTAGAGAATAAATCACCTGTCTTAACATAGTAGAGTCTAATACTATGGCATGGGAGGAAGGGTCCTTGCTAAGGAGGAATTGTTTGTTTTATAGACTTTTAACTATTCCTCCTATTTCTCAGCTCTATGTAAACATCCTATTTTCAGAGGTATCCTGGTACTTGGTACTTCCTGTGGTAGGTTTTTTTTTTTTTTAATTTTGTTATTGTATATGTGCTGTATTAAGAATTTGGTTACTGGGGCTGGGGATGTGGCTCAAGCGGTAGTGCGCTCTCCTGGCGTGCATGCGGCCCGGGTTCCATCCTGAGCACCACATACAAAGATGTTGTGTCCGCCGATAACTGAAAAATAAATATTAAAAAAATTCTCTCTCTCTCCTCTGTCTCTCTCTCTCCCTCTCCAAAAAAAAAAAAAAAAAAAGAATTTGGTTACTTCTTATTAGAATTCCCATTTGGACTCAGCTTTCTTTTATCTGCTGAGTCAATTTACTGGTCCTCCATTTGTTTGCCATCTTTCAAAAACCTTTTGGCTTATCTAATACACTGGTATATTCTTTCTTGTTCTTCCTTGTATAGGTGTATGGTAACACACTACTAGGTTTTAGAGCAGCAATCAAAATGAATACATGTGTTCAATCCAGAAGAAATAAAAGTTTTGTTCAAAAAAAACTATATTTTTACATATTTTATTTCTTTTTGCAGGAGGAACTCAAATGAAGATTATAGAAATAAAACCAGAATAAGTGTGTGTGTATTTTTATATGTATAAAATGTATGTGTGTATACACACACACACATTTAGTTTTTAAGGCTTTTAGGTGTACTTTGCCTTATCTCTAATCATCAAGTGTGAACTTTTAATATTTTTATATTAGCTATGAAACAGTGCTGCTAAGGAGTTTTTTTTCATGCTAAAACAGTTTATCTCACACTGATAATTCCATACATAGCATATGGTGCCTGAGAGACTCAGAGCTTATCAAAGTTGAGTTTGTGCAGCCATCATAATTGTCATATGCTCATTCATTTTCTCTTTAAAGCTTTTGAGTTATGGGAAGAACTTTCCTTATATGAATTTAAATTCTGAGAATTGTGTCTTTTGACTTCTTTGATTTTAATTGTTTTTTTCCCCCCTCCCTAGACAGTGCAATGCTTGCTAGACAGTGGTGCTGATATTAACAGGCCAAATGTGTCAGGAGCCACTCCATTGTACTTTGCTTGCAGGTATGATATTTTATATTTTCATATATCCAAAAAACAAAGTTGTGTATCTACCATATTTTCAAGCAAATATTTCTGTATATTTTCTACAGCTCTATTTTCACAAAAATATTATGTTCTCTTTTAAGATGAAGAAAAGCATTTTGGTTTTGTTACTTAACTACATGAGGGAAAGCATTTTCTATTATATTTCATCGCCAGTGTTTTTATGCTGTAGGTGGGAGCTTTTGATTTACTTGATTATTTCAGTTTTAAGAAAAATCAATAATCCAGTAATTCCCATAGGTCACTTTATTAACTAACCAGGTGAGTTCCTTTGGGATAAGCTATTGAAATATGTTTTGGTCCAGAGCCATGGTTTTGCTTTCTCTGTATCTGTAACTTTAAAATATTGAATCAGTTCTGTTAGTTACTGAGTTATACATTATTTTTGTGCTTGTTTCTTGATCTTTTCTTGACTTGGACATTTGTTCACTTGTTCATTCACTTAATTGGCAAACACGTAGCTAGCACTACATGTTATAGGTATTAGTGATATAGTAATAAGTAGGGCTGGGATGTAGCTTGGTGGTAGAACACTTGTCTGGCATGTATAAGGCCCTGGGTTCCAGATCTATCAGTATAGAAAGCAAAACAAATAATAACAAAAGCAAAACAAAACAAAAAAAAACTCCAGTATCTAAAGAGTAACATAAAAATTACACACATGTATTCACACCCACTTACATATACGAGAGTTTGTGTGTTGGGATGGTATATAAATGTAGCTTACAGAGAGAAGCAGTGCACAAAAAACTATAGTGATTCTTCTTTTTGATTTAAATTCTAGTGCTTTCTTGGTATCCCCTAGTATTGGTTCTAGAAATCTCCCATGGATACCAAAGTTCTCTAATACTCAGATCCCTTATATAAAATGGCCTAATATTTGCATATAAACTATGCATATCCTCCTGTGTACTTTAAATCATCTCTAAATTACTTATACCTAATACATTGTAAATCTTGTATAAATAGTTGATATACTGTATTGTTTAGGGAATAATGACAAAAAATCTGTATGTTTGTTTTAGACTGAAAGACCTGCCTTTCCTCTTTAGCTTCTTGTTGGGTCTCTGATGTTATCTTGATCAGACTGATTCAGATTATTTATTGAACTACCTTTGTTAGAAGCAGTTCACCAAACATTGTAGTGAATCTTGTCCTTTGATTTAAATTTTATGAATTTAAAAATTTATAAAATTTTAGACTCTTATGTTCAAGGGGCTCTTATGTACAGGAGCTTTTGGATCTTTATACATCTAGATTTTGTCTAAATCTAGTCCTTTTCTTATACTTAAAATTTGGTTGGTTGGCTAGAATAGCAGTTCCTTCCATAGTGTTCTTAATTTATGAATAATATAATTGTTTCATTACCTGAAATCATACCCTATTTAGAATTTATGTTTAGATCAGAGTTTTCTTTGAAGCTCTGAATTTGAGTGTCTCTCATCACTCAAAAATCTCATAGAATCTCAGATGTTAACATGTCCAAAGTACAGTTTCTGATTTTCTTCTTCAAACCTTTCTTTCAATTTTCCTTATTCTCCAGTTCTTTAAGCCAGAGACCAGATCATTATTTTTTTAATTTCTCTCTGGACCCTCAGCTTGGAACTTATTTAGTAAGTTCTGTAAATTCTACATTCAGAATTTGTTTTGAAACTTTTCCACTCTTAAACTCATTGAAACTGTTACGTCTTGACTAGAGTACTGTAGTAGTTATCTTCATTTAGCATTATATTCTCCAGCTCCATCCATTTACCTACAAATGCCTTATTCTCTTTTATTGATGAGTAATATTCCATTGTGTATATACACCACGTTTTCTTTATCCATTCATCTACTGAATGGCATCTAGGTTGGTTCCACAGTTTAGTATTGTGAATTCAGCTGCTATAAGTATTGGTGTGGTTATGTTACTATAGTATGCTGATTTTAAGTCCTTTGGGTATAGACCATGGAGTAGGATATCTGGGTCAAATGGTAGTTCCATTCCAAGTTTTCTGAGGAATCTCCACACTGCTTTCCAAAGCGGTTGTACCAATTTGCAATCCCACCAGCCATGTATGAGTGTACCTTTTTCCCCACATCCTCTCCAGCACTTCTTATTGCTTGTATTCTTGATAACTGCTATTCTGATTGGGGTGAGATGAAATCTTGGTTTTCATTTGCATTTCTGTAATTACTAGAGGTGTTAACACTTTTTCATATATTTGTTAATCGCTTGTATATTTTCTTCTGAGAAGTATCTGTTCAGTTCCTTAGCCCTTTTATTGATTGGGTTGTTTATTTTTTGGTATTAAGTCTTTTGAGTTCTTTATGTATCCTAGAGATTAGTACTGTATCTGATGTGCGTGTGGTAAAAATTTTCTCCCATAATGTAGGCTCTCTCTTTACCTCAATTATTGTTTCCTTTGCTGAGAAGAAGCTTTTTAGTTTGAATCCATCCCACTTATTGATTCTTGATTTTATTTCTTGTGCTTTAAGAGTCTTGTAAAGGAAGTCAGGGATTAATCCGACATGATGAAGATTTGGGTCTACTTTTTCTTCTAGTTGGTGCAGGGTCTCTGGTCTAATTTCTTGGTCCTTGATCCATTCTGAGTTGAGTTTTGTTTATGGTGAGAGATAGAGGTTTAATTTCATTTTGGAAGATGTTTTAGAATGAATTGAGTCACTGTAATTTCATGCTTGAAAAATATTTTGTATGAAACAGTGACATTATAATAGTAAATATAAGTACGGTAATACAGAACTGAGATATTCCCATAGTCTGAATGTTGGAATGTGGTAAAAAGATGTTTTTAGAAGTACATTCTGTTACTACTATATTCCCCTCTATCATTAAGGGTTTTTTTGTTTTTTTGGTACTTAGAATTCACCAAGGGCCTTGTACATGCCTAGGTTCTAAACGAGCAAACATCGGATAGCTTCGAACAAAGATAGTTATACAAGTCCGTGTTGAGAAGTAAAACCAGAAAACATTTACAGGCAGACTTTTAATTGTACTTGTGATATTTAGATTTTCAAGTATTTTCTGTATCTTCAGATAACTTTCATTTTGTTAGGAAAAGTAAGATTTTGTTGAGATGTATAGATACAGTAAATTAGTGAGACATGTATAGAGTTTTAGAGCTTTGTAATAGTTATAAAAGGGGAAAATTCAGAGCATGGATTCATAGTTCCTGCCAGGCAACTCCTTTTAGTTATCAAACTCTGTAAATAGCCAGGTAAAATAGACATTAGACTCAGAATTATAAACTGTTAGATTTGGAACATCCCCTTAGAAAATACGGTCATTTTGTTTCAGGCTATTCCAAAAAATATTGCTTCTATTTGTACAATTATATATTCTATCCAAGTTCTCAAATTCACAAAGTCTGAAGTTAGAAGAATGAAAGTGTTTGAGAGATAACTTCTATTTCCTCTTCAAGGAAGTGAAAATTATCTGAATCAATGTTAAAAAAAAATCCATTTTGCTAAGTTTAGTTGCTTTTCTCACTTTCAAAGTAAAGTTTTTGTATTAGATGGTCTTTTTAAATTGTGGAACTTCTTTGAGCATTTGTTAAAATCAGCCTTATATTTTAATGTCTCTGAATTGTAAATTTATTTATTTTTGATGACTTTATTTTGAATCAGAAGAACTCATTGAATAATAAGATCTAGGGTCTACTGATTGCTACCTCCAGAGTATAATGGTTCTAACTGAAAGAGTAGTAGTACAAGGAGAGCTATCAGAGAAAGGCATGTGGATAGGAAAGTTGTTTATTCTAGACTAGATTGAATAACCAAACTGAGTGGGTTGATAAAGGTTGAAAGCTAGATAGATATTTTTTCCTTGTAATTCTCACTTGTGTTCTTCCCTTAAGTTCTTATTTTGATGCTCTTTTCTTTTTCTTTTTTTTTTTTTTAACAAAGAAAGTGCTATGAAATGTGTTTTTTTTTAATATTGATTTTTTTGTAATCATAGTTGGATACAATATCTTTATTTTATTTATTTATTTGTATGTGGTGCTGAGGATTGAACCCAGGGCCTTAGTCTAAAAATTTGGGTGTTTGTGGTAGAAAGGAGGTCAGGATAGACTTGAGAAAGGGATTAGAAAGTGAATGGAAGGAAAAAAATTGACCAGAGTTTGATAAATAGTTACATATCTCAAAATGTTATGAGTTATTGTAGGATTCATATTAACCATCCATAATTCATAGAGAAAGACTTTAAAAGATTTTATTTTTGTTATGGAATCCAGATTTTTTACTTTTCTTTTTTTATTAAATTATTTTTTCTAATTTGTTACATTTGACGGCAGAATACATTTCATTTCTTATTACACATATAGAGCACAATTTTTCAAGTCATTGTTGTACACAAAGTATTTTCACACTTTTTGTGTCTTCATACATGTACTTAGGGTAATGATGTCTTAACTCATTCCACTATCTTTTCTATCCCCATGCCCTCACTTTTCCCCTCCCTCCCCTTTGTCCTATCTAATGTTCCTCCATTCCTTCCATGCCCCCGCCCCCCATTATGAGTCAGCATCCTCATATCAAAGAAAACATTTGGCCTTTAGTTTTTTGGGATTGGCTAACTTCACTTAGCATTATATTCTCTAACTCCATCCATTTACCTGCAATTGCCATGATTTTATTCTCTTTTAATGCTGAATAACATTCCATTGTGTATATATATCAAAGTTTCCCTATACATTCTTCTACTGAAGGGCATCTAGGTTGGTTCCACAATTTAGCTATTGTGAATTGTGCTGCTATAAACATTGATGTGGCTGTGTCCCTGTAGTATACTATTGTTTAAGTCCTATGGGTATAGACCGAGGAGTGGGATAGCTGGGTCAAATGGTGGTTCCATTCCAAGTTTTCCAAAGAATCTCCATATTGCTTTCCATATTGGCTGCACCATTTTGCAGTCCCACTAGCAATATGTGAGTGTGCCTTTTCCCCCACTTCCTCACTAACACTTACTGTTGTTTGTATTCTTTTTTTTTTAATTTTTTATTTTTTTATTGGTTGTTCACAACATTACAAAGCTCTTGACATATCATATTTCATACATTAGATTGAAGTGGGTTATGAACTCCCAATTTTACCCCAAATGCAGATTGCAGAATCAAGTCGGTTACACATCCACAATTTTACATAATGCCCAATTAGTAATTGTTGTATTCTGCTACCTTTCCTATCCCCTACTATCCCCCCTCCCCTCCCCTCCCATCTTCTCTCTCTACCCCATCTACTGTAATTCATAAATTGCATGGAAATGAAGGGAGACCCTCATTGCTATACAAAATTACATATAAGAGGTTGTGAGGGGAATGGGAAAATAAACAAGGAGAGTGTTGTTTGTATTCTTGATAGCTGCCATTCTGACTGGCTTGAGATGAAATCTTAGAGTAGTTTTGATTTGCATTTCTCTATTTGCTAGAGGTATTGAACATTTTTTCATGTATTTGTTGATTGATTGTATATCCTCTTGTGAGAAGTGTCTGTTCAGTTTCTTGGCCCATTTATTGATTGGGTTATTTATTTATTTATTTTTTGATGTTAAGGGTTTTGAGTGCTTTATATTAGTGTTCTATCTGATATGCTATTGGTAAAGATTGGCTTCCAATCTGTAAGTGCTCTATTGACTTCACTGATTGTTTCTTTTGCTGAGAAAAAGCTTTTTAGTTTGAATCCATCCCATTTATTGATTCTTGGTTTTAATTGTTGCACTATAGGAGTCTTATTAAGGAAGTTTGAGCCTAATCAATATAATGGAGATTTGGGCCTACTTTTTCTTCTATTAGGCTCAAGGTCTCTGGTTTAATTCCTAGGTCCTTGATCTACTTTGAGTTGAGTTTTGTGTATGGTGAGAGAGAGGGAGGTTTAATTTTATTTTGTTACATATGGATTTCCAGTTTTCCCAGCACCATTTGTTGAAGAGGCTATTAAAATATTTTATTTTTAGACTTACAAATGATTTTCAAAGATAAAAACTTGATCTTCCAAGATGTTTATGTCTGTTTGTATATGTAAAGCAAATATATCAAATTGGTAAAATATAATAAATTGGCTAGTTAAATAAATTTATTAAAAATAAAAAATATTTTATTTTTAATTTGGTTCTATTTCTATATAGTCATGGTCAGAGAGATACAGCACAGATTCTTCTATTACGAGGAGCCAAATATTTGCCAGATAAAAATGGAGTAACTCCTCTGGATTTATGTGTACAGGTATGTTTTCAATATATATTTTGAGCCCATTTAAGATAGAAACTGAGAATAATAAAATCATTTTTTTTATAAATGAGTGGATGAGTGCAAATATTTTTATACTGTGAAGTATAAATGACTGTTAAGAAAAACTTTATTTTTGAAGTTGAGTAATTTTAAGTCTTGTTTTTAGGGTGGATATGGAGAGACTTGTGAAGTATTAATTCAGTATCATCCTAGGCTTTTTCAGACTATTATTCAAATGACACAGAATGAAGACCTCCGAGAAAACATGGTAATATAATTGTGCTAGTAACTTGGAAATGAACAAGCTTTATTCAGGCTTATATATGTGAAACTTTCCAAATGTGCTTAGTAATTTTATTTATTAATACAAATATTTTAATAATTTGAATATGCTTATCTGCACTATAGGATAAGTATGAATTCCATTTATTCCTTCATATCCATGGGTTCTCCATGCATGGATTCAACCAATCAGGGGTCAAAAACATTTTTAAAAATTGCATACGTACTGAACATTACAATTTTTTTCTTGTTGTTTCTTAACCCATGTAGTACAAGAACTATTTGCATAGCATTTTTATTGCATTTGGTATGAAAAGTGATCTAGAAATGATTTAAAATATGTGGAAAAAGGTTCATAGGTTATATGCAAATACTATGCCATTTTATATAAAGAACTTAAGTATCTGCAGATTTTGATATCCTTGGGAATTCAGGTGTTAGTCCCCAGAAATACCAAGAAACATATGTAATAATTAACAAACTTTGGGCTAATATTTGGCCTTCTAACTCTTCTGTTCTGTGGATCTTTGATCTTCCCTTAAGGTAACTATTCCCTGTGAATAGAGGAAAAGAATCTGAGAAGGAATGTCATGTTATGGTTTGTAATCACTAGTTTACCAAGCACTGTTTTTTTATTTTTGGTTTTCTTTTTGCTATGCTGGAGATTAACTCCAAATCTTTCTGCTGCTTGGCTACATCCCCATCCCTGAGTGCTATTATTTATAGTAGCTATAATCTTAGAAAAATTATAGAATTTAAAATTTTCTGAAATTTGAGAAGTCTGGAGTTAAATTTCCATAGATACACTAGGTGATTTTTATTCTCTCTTTTTTAAAATTGTTGTTTACTGTGTAATTTTCAACAAAATTTTATGTTATCATCTATCATATTAACTTTTAAATTTATACAAAGCAAAGTATAAAGGTTTCTATTTTAGCCGATTGGCTTTAAGGTGTTTAATAAATTAATAAGTACTTAATTTTTTGACAAAATTTAACAGTTTATTTAATCTCAATTTTTTACTTATAAATATTTAGCTACGGCAAGTTCTGGAGCATTTGTCTCAGCAAAGTGAAAGCCAGTACCTAAAGATTCTAACAAGCCTTGCTGAAGTTGCTACAACAAATGGTCACAAGCTGCTTAGGTAAGTGTTTCAGCATTTCAATAGGTAGCAGTTTCTGCCTGAATAGTTATTCTGTGAGGTGCCTTTTTGCAGTGATAAGATATTATGAAAATTTGCTGATGTATCATTATTTTATTTAAAAGGACCAAGATAATCACCTAAAGAAACTTTGATCTTAAAGAAACTGGAGCATACTTGAATGAGTTTTGGCATATGTGTTTGGAAGTTTTTGAAAGTATTACTTAGACTAGTTATGTAAGTAAATACACATGAAGAAGAATCCAAAAAGTAGTTCAGGAATCTTGCTCACTAATTTATAAAAGTGAGGCTTTTCTTCAACTTTTCAAAATACTTTTGAGATTCAGCATGAAGTTTTCTCCCTACCCTGTCTCATTTCGTTTCTTTATTCTTTCCAGAAGTTTTTGTGGTTTTAGTGGCTCATCACTAAGTCCACGAAGTTAATGCCTTTATATTACTTCATTTTATATATATGGCATTTTCCCACAGCAACACTCTTTTGTGGTTAGTCACCCTAATTAGGAGTAAGTAGCTATTAAGAAATGCCCTTGAGCTATATAATTCTCTGTTATTACATGTTAATTTATAAATTTGACCCTCTTTTAATTTAGATGCTTTTCTCCTTTGTATTATTATTATTATTTTTTCACTAGTCATCTCTATATTGATAGGTCATGATTGTCTCCTACCTTTTTAGTTGCTACTGAACTTTTTTCCTCCCAACAACATGCAGGTTCTATAATTCATCTACATTGTCAAATTCATGATTTTAGTCCTTTGTTTCATTTTCCCCTCAACTTTTCATATACTTCAATGAGAGTCATTTTCTGTACTCTAAGACTCTTTATTTTTTCTTGGTGCCAAGATCACTTTCTTGCATTCTTTAAACTGTTCAAAGTTTCTTCAGTGGTTCTACTCAATATACAATTTGCTAGTTTAAAAAATTATTCTCTTTGCAACTACTTTTAGAATCTTATAAGAATTATTGAATTCCAGGTTCCCATAATGTGATTCTCTTATTTTAGTCATTCCCAGTATTACACGTTGTTGATGAAGCCTTTCTAAGATTCAGATATGCTAATTAAAAGCATGGTCCTTGGAGCTTGCCAGACTCAAGTTTAAATCCACACCATTACTAACAGTGTGGCCTTAGCAACTAACTAAAGACACACCATTTACTAACTGTGTGGCCTTAGCAACTAACCTTTTGGAGTTTCCTTTACTGTTCATCCATGCATCTAATGTGTATTTTTGAATGCCTGCTGCCCGACACCAGACATTCTATTAGGTGGTTGTGAATAAAACAGACAAGATGTCTCCTTATATTCAATTTGCCGTTTAGTTTGGATTTCGTTCCATTTTATTAGAAAGTGGTAGTAAATACTTTAATGAATAGACATTTTCTATTCCCATATTATTAATCCTTATTATTTTTTTTAAATGTTAACTAGAAATGTTACCATGAATTGGGTAAAATATACAGAGGACTTTTGATAATTAGATTCATTACAAACACAATTATGCCATTCTGCCTGAAAATTCATGAAACTCCTTACTCTGTTTGTGCAACAGTTATAATACAAAATAATTGATATTAGAGATTTTAAAATAAAATATACCTTAGACCCCCAAAATTATTTATAGATATATTATTAAATTGAATTAAATTATGAATTTAACTGAAGTTCTTCAGCTTCTCTGTGGAAGAGGAATGATTGGTATTTGTGATTCTGACTAATCCCAAGGTACTTTGGGGTTCTGAAGGGCTTTTAGATGTGTTTAAGAAAATTTATATTTTGTATGATTTAATGTTAGTTGAATTTTTTTTTTTTCTTTTCCACATTGGGGTTTATTTCCTACGTTTATGTGGAGTCATAGTACAACCCATTACATAGAGAACAACCCTAATGCAATTATTTGGTAACTTTAAGATTATTCAATTTGTGAATATTCTATATGCCAATAATTGGTTACTCTTGTTGGACAGGGAGGGCTATGAAGTTATGGATAGACTAGATAGAGTTTCAGCTTCTTAGTTTAAACATTTGAGCAATGGGTTGGTCTGCTTTTGTGCAGCTGTATACTTTTACAACATAATACTTTTAGAGTTGGTTCTTTGTGAAATGTTTTCAGAGTTCTAAATAGCTCAACTTAAAAATGTACTTTTGGAAGGGAGAATTGAAGATTACCTTGAAGTTGGGGTATCAAGATACCAATTGTTCTAGAGGAGTATCCCCCCCCCCCCACATTTACACCTTGATTTTGGTTATATTCTGGGTACTTTAAAATTATCATTCTATTAATAAGCTATTAAAATAATGTATATTCAATACTTTGCTGTTAAACCATTTTGTTTCCTATCATGATAAGAAGAGAATTTTACCCCAGTTTTATTATGAAACCAAAGGTCAGTGAAATGAAACTGTTAAAGGTATAGTTTGTTTGCTCCATCTAATCTATTCATGTTTTAATTTTTTCAGCCTATCTAGCAATTATGATGCTCAAATGAAGAGCCTTTTAAGGATTGTGAGGATATTTTGTCATGTCTTTCGAATTGGCCCTTCCTCCCCCAGTAATGGAATCGATATGGGTTACAATGGGAACAAAACTCCAAGAAGCCAGGTGTTCAAGGTCAGACAAGAATATGTTGTTGTTAGGCAGACATATATAAAAGATGAATTTGACAAAGCATGCCTTCATTAATTAGACACCTCACAAACAGGGTGTAATTTTGGTTCATATCTGTACCACTTGTTTTTTGTTTTTATTTGTGGTCTTGGGCCTTGCACCTGCTAAGCAAGTTCTCTACTAAGCCACATCTCCAGCCCACCTCTACCATTTTTTAAATTAGGCACACCTTTTTTCTTTCAGTTCTCTCTAATCAATATAAAGTTTAACTAGTGAGCTTTCTATATTTTCTTAGATATAAAATTTTTATTTAATTAGTGTTTTATTGTAAGCATAAGGATATTTAATGTTTAAATTTAATTTTATTGAATGTTTCTAATGTAATAGACAACTACCATTTAAAAAATTCTTATTAGAAAGAAAATATCTAGTTTTATTAAATTTTATTATTGTGTGTATGTATGTTGTATGTGTGTCTCTGTATGTGCTTTTAGAAGTAAAGTTACTTGCTGGGTGTGGTGGTACACACCTATAATCCTAGCAACTCGGGAAGCTGAGGAAGGAGAATATCAAGTTTGAGACCAACCTCAGCAACTTAGTGAGGCCCTAAACAACTTAGTGAGACCCTGTCTCAAAAAGTAAAAAAAAATGGACTAGGGATATAGCTTAGTGGTAAAGTGCCTCTAGGTTCAATCTGTCGTACCCCCCTTAGAAAAAATAAGTAAGGTTGCTTTTATTTACTAGGTGTACTAACAGTTAATTCCAGGGATTACCTCAGGAAAGAATCACTGAGAAATTTTCTTAAAATATTTTGTATTGCTTCTGCAATGTTTTTAATACAGGTACAAATGAGTGGAAGATTGATCCTTGGAAGAATGATTCCATATAAAACCAAAAGGCAGTATGTTAAATTGTAATTTTATGAAGTAAAAAAAAAAAATTAAAAAATAATACACACACACACACACACACACACACAGGTAGATAGATACTACTTTATTGCTATTAATGCTTGTTTGTGGTACTGTATATATTTTATTTTTTGGTGATACTGGAGGGGTGCTCTACCACTTAGCTATATCCCCAGCCTTTTTTATTTTTTATTTTGAGACAGGTTCTTGCTAAGTTGCCCAGGCAAGCCTTGAACTTGTGATCCTTCTGCCACAGCCTCCCAGGTAATTGGAATTGCAGGCATGTACCACTGCACTCAGCATTGTGGGATTACATTTAAGTTAATATATTTTAATGGTTATTATTATTATTACATATATTTTTTGTGGTGGTGTTTATTAAACCCAGGGCCTTGTGCATGCTGGGCAAGTACTCTGTTTCTGAGTCACACCCCCTGCCCACTAATGTTGTTTTTTAAAAGGTAATTTTTCTCCAGAGATTTTCATGGTATAAAATTTTCTTTTCGCATTCATGAACTTATATTTTTTTGTTTTTTTATTTTTATTTTTGTAGTTGTAGATGGACAGCACGTCTTTATTTGTTTATTTTTATGTGGTGCTAGACATCGAACCCAGTGCCACACAGTGCTAGGCAAGTGCTCTGCCATTGAGCCCCATTACATCCAAAAAGCAATGTTTTTATGTGCTACTTCCTTGAAAACTAAATTAATAACTCTGCTATCTATAAAATTTGAAGCTAAATTAGTAGTCTCTGTTAAATGATTCTTTTTTTGTAACATGGAAAAACTGGTAGATACTTAAAAATAAATGTTTTGCAAACATTTTGACACTTATATATTTTTAAGTATTAGAATAGGTATAAGAGAAAATCAGTGTTGGAAATAAAGTTTTCAGTTGTATACATGTATGTACATTTATAGGCCTTCCTCCATCGTGCTACCTTTTGGATGAAGAAAATTATGCATCATCTTTTAATTCAAACTGACTTTTCGTATATTACCTCCTCTAACACTAGTTAGGATTGACAACTTGCTGTCATTTAAAATCTCAGTCTAAATTATTGATTTATTCTTTTAGTGCTGTTTAAAGTGAGTTTTGCTGCTCATTCATATCATTTTTAATTGTTCTTCATGCATTCTGGCATAGCTCACTATTAGGACTGATTTCTACCCTTGATTTTAATTTCAGCTCATCCTTTCTGTTCATCTAAAATGATAAGTAGAAAATCAAATCAGTTATAGATATGGTCACTGTTATCTAAGTTCGGTATAGATTATATTCAGTATTGTCTGATTTTCATTGTTTTTAAAATTTGAATCTGTCACTTGCTAATTGATATCAGAAATTAAGTGTATGTTAAGTAGTCTCTACAGGTATTTCATGCTCGATTTAAATGTCAATTTTCTATTTAGGCAGTCAGTACACTTAGGGTAAAGGAAGATATCATTCTTTTTCCTTTTTATGGAATTCAAACTTTGTGTTTTGTCATGTATCTGTGAGATATACATACATACATACACACATACATACATATATATGTATATCTCTATATGTATCCAGCTATCTGTCTATAAAGTTTTTTTCTTCCAGTTTATTTTGTTAGTATCTTCATTTTTTTTTTTTTTTGTGGTGCTGGGGATTGAACCCAGGGCTTTGTGCATGTGAGGCAAGCACTCTACCAACTGAACTATATCCCCAGCCCTTCATTTTATTTTTAAAGGTGTTTTCTGCATCATGAATAAGTACTCTTGCCTCTTTGACCACTTATTTTCTCTTTAAATTTTTAATTTGCATTTTGGTAAAATGTTTTTATTTAAAACTCAGGTAATTAAAAAACAATTAACAAGTGTTGACTTTTAAGAAATTTATTAGTCTCTTTCCATTCAATTTTATGAATAAAACATGGAATTTTGGGGAGATAGCAAAATGATCTGCCTTCCCACCAGTCTGGCTGAAAGTAGACATTGTACATTGCCATCATGCCTATAAGGTCTCCTGCTTTGTGGGGTAATACAAATTAAAAATCTTTATTGTTGTTGAGTTGCACAACATTAGACTGGGAATACTATTTTAACTTACATTTTGTGTAAGGTAGCAATTGATCTCTACTTTCTATTTCAGAAACTAGGTATTCTAACATGTTACTTTATTGTTAGGATTAACTAATGGGTTTTCCATTAAGAATGAGTAGGTTTATAGGCCATGTGTTTTTAGTAGGTGAAATTGTTTAACATCCTGTTATTAGTTTTCTGATTTATATTAGAAGTCCTTTAAGTTAATCTTAATACTAACCATTCTTTCAGTGTTAAGAGATTTTCATCTAGAGCCTTTGGAACTTTGGAGTATTTGAAGGAGAAAGTTGTTTTTATTATTGTAGTGAGTAAGCAAGCATGAGGAAGACAGTTTAGGTTATTTTGAATCTGATATGCCCTTTTTTGAGTGTGAAATAGTAAGCTGTGACTGTTAATGGTTTCATAGAATTGTATTTGGAAAATTTGGAAGCCAAGAAAGATTGAAAAATTAAACTTTAATATCTTTTGGGTTGTGACCTTTAACATTATTGAATTGAAATAGTCTAACAAAGAATTTCAAGGCAGTACCCCCTATTAATGAACTGTTAGTATCAATTTCCTGTCACATTTCTACTTTACTTCAGTACATCATAAAATTTAAAAAATTTGTTCAATAAATTTGGAATTCTGTATTATAGTGTAGAAATGTAATTTAAAATGTTTGTAACTCATCTATGATTGTCTTATTGTTACTATAGAGGTGAATGTGGCAATCATTTAATAACATGAAATGAAGCAATATTTTCAAAGTGCCGAGGAACCTGCTACTATTTTCTTTAGTAATTGACTTATTTTTCAGTAACAATTTATATGTATGGTGTTTTGTATCCTATCTAATATATTTATTATTTATGAATTTTGAAAGCATCACAGATATGGTATGCAATAGTTTATTTTTATTTATATTTTTGTAATGCTGGAGATGGATGTTAGCCAACCACTCTGTACCAATTAGCTAGAAAATCAGACTGCAATATTTTATTTTAAAATTTAAACTTTATTTTAATCTTTTTTTGTCTGTGGCTGTGGCCACAATTATAAATTAAAGTTATTTTTTACGGTATTCTTGTTTGTGATTGAGGAGTGCTTTTTTAAATAGATCTTCAAAGAGACAATTTCTTATGTAAAGTTACCTCATGGTTTGAATTTAGGTTTAGTGTATGTGTTGTGAAAAAAGGAAAGGTGGTAGCAAAAAGAAAAGTAAAGAAAGACCCCTAGTGGCTTATATTCTTTATTTTTTTTCTTCCTATTCCTTGTTGAAAACTCTTAACTTTTAGGATTTTTGTATCTATCTTTTCATACAGATCCATTGTATTGTTATTATTTTGTATTATTCAAAGTTTGCCTTTAAATTTTTTTGCACATTGCCAGTATTTGAAAATAGGATTGTAAGAGTTTAGGCCCAGTGTTTATCTACATGATCAGCCTGTATCATTCTTGCCTTAGGCCTCATCTCTATCCACTGTGTCTGTTTTCCAGGTTTTATCACTTTTCATTTAGAGGCCAATTATTTCTTTTTTCTTTGGTTTGAAGTAATTTACGTGACCACCTGTTCTTTCTATTTTGGAGTTCATTTTCCAATATAAAACTAAATAGTTTGTGACATAAAAAGTTCTTATTCAGCCTCTATAGCAGGTTTACTGTTTTGCTCATGAGGAGTAACTGTAGGCTCAAACTTGGATGGTGATTATAATTCTAAGCCATTTTCAGTAAAAGTGTCATGTCACTGTTTATAGCAACTGCCCTTCCTTAAACAGCAGAGGCCTCAAATCTTTCAGCTGTGGCCTAAATTTAGAAAAGCCCTCTTTGTGGATGAGTGGGGTCCTTATTTCAGTCTCATCCAGGGTAATATTAATTTCTCTTTAAAAAGGAAACTGCTTTCCTGCTTAATTAGTTAGTGTACTAAGTTTTGTTGATTGTAGTAGTGGTAGTTCAGTTTATTTGTTTTGTTTTTGCTTTTTGGTTCACCGTATGAATGAAGAGCTAGTGATGATTTAATTACTTGCAAATAATAAGTACAATATTCTGGTTACTTCATAAAGTTCTGGATTATTAAACAAACAATGAAAATATTGTAAAGGTATTGTTAGATAATAATTGAGAAGAATTTTCTGGCATAACAGGTTATTAAGACATTCTCTAAGATTTCAGAAACAAATATGCTTGCGTGATCTTTTTCCATAGTATTTTCTAAAAGTAAGATTATTTGTTTAGTTAAAATATTTAAAATACTGTGTAAGATGAATGATAACCCCTCTACTCTCAAACTGTTAATCCTTATTTGGGATTAAAAATATTCTAGCAGCTCTTTTAATAAAAAGTAGTTGGACATTTGTATTTGTTTTAAAACTACTAATTATTATAGATTATGTTTGTATTTCATTTTTTTTTTAGTATTTGGTCCTATTGTAGCATTTTTGATAAAGTGATTTAAATATAAAATGTTATTTGCTCTTAATTCACAGAAGACATTTCACTATTCTCAGAAATATTTTAAATATTTTAGATATTGTAGGAGTAAAAAAGCAGTTTGATTCCCCTCTTCCCTCTTATTATTATTATTTTTAAATGTTAATCTTTTATATATATATATATGTATATATATATTAGTTGTAGTTGGACACAATCTTTATTTTATTTATTTATTTTTATGTGGTGCTGAGGATCGAATCCAGTACCTCGCACATGCTAGGCAAGTGCTCTACTGCTGAGCCCCAGCCCCAGCCCTAGCCCCAGCCCCATTAATCTTGGAATTAAGAGTTTGTAAGGAGCTGTGAGGGCAAAGCTGAATGAGTTTATGCTTAATATGTGTGAAGTCTTGCATTTGGTTCCCCAAACCACACAAAAAGGAATTTGCTAATTAGTATTTTGATAGAAGTTTGGTAATTGTGCTTCTTTATTAATTATTTGAGATGGACTGTATGTATAAACAAGATATATTGTATGATTATATACTTATTCATAGAAATGTCATATTTTAATCATTTCTTATGATAAATTATCAAAATTCTAGGAATTCATGTAAGAAAGGAGAATTTTAAACTGTTTATTAGGTTCTTTGGGAATTCTAATTTTATTTTAAGTTGGAAATGGCTTATTTTTGTTTTATTGAAAATTACTGACATTATTGATAATTATTGACAGTAAATGTTAGGGGTGTTATGAAAGTAGAGTCTTAAAACTAAATTTTTGAAATTGAAAGAAGAACGATTGCTTATAATTTATTGTTAGATTTTAGTTTTATCTTTTTATTACCAGGAATACATACACAAATAATTAAATTTTGCTATAAGTGAAGAAATTATCATTTATATGAAACATATATTTTTGTTACTTGAAGCATTATTGTCATTTTAATATGGGAAAACTGAAGTATCTAGAGTAAATTTTCTCTTTTACACTATATGTCTGGCAGTGTGGGTTTTTTTTTTTTTTTAATTATGCAGTTTAAGAATGATGTCTAAAAAACTTTTCTTTTCTTCATAGCCTCTGGAATTGCTTTGGCACTCATTAGATGAATGGCTAGTTTTAATAGCCACAGAATTGATGAAAAACAAAAAGGACTCAACAGATATCACTTCTATTTTACTGAAACAAAAAGGCCAAGATCAAGATGCCACTTCCATTCCACCATTTGAACCTGGGAGCTATGAAAATCTATCCACTGGCACAGGGGAATCTAAACCAGATGCTCTTGCAGGGAAACAGGAAGCCAATGCAGATTGTCAGGATGTTATTTCTATGACAGCCAACCGGCTAAGTGCTGTCATTCAAGCTTTTTACATGTGCTGTTCTTGTCAGATGCCTCCAGGGTAAGAAGGTTTCAGCTTATTATTTTTTGCTCTCATAAGTGAAGAAGAGATATGATGTTTTTGTAATTTCAATAACAAGAAGTAATTATTGATGTTTAAAGATCCTGTTCTAATCCTGTTTTAGAGTACTCATTGCACTAATCTGATTCTTTTTTTTTTTTTTTTTTTAAAGAGAGAGTGAGAGAGAGGGGGACAGAGAAAGAGAGAGAGAATTTTAACATTTATTTATTTTTTCTTAGTTCTCGGCGGACACAACATCTTTGTTGGTATGTGGTGCTGCTGAGGATCGAACCCGGGCCCGCACGCATGCTAGGCGAGCGTGCTACCGCTTGAGCCACATCCCCAGCCCCACTAATCTGATTCTTGTACAAAATTTCTTTGTAGAATGGAGAATGTCATTTTATATAGGATATCTTAATTATATGGTTGAAATTCTTAGAGCAGAGATGCTCATACTTTCAAGATTTTTAAAAAAGTTACTTGTTTATGTCATCTGTTATTGAGAAGTTTTATATATATTATATATATACATATATATGTGTGTGTGTATATATATATCTATACATACATACATACATACTATTTCATTCTACGTATTGACTAGGCATGCCTTAGTTTTCTGAATTTATAAAGAAGATCCAAACCCAAGTTCTTTCTTATGGTCTACAAGCCTGTCCAGTTCAATACATATTTATCAGATTTTCTGTATCTTATCACCAGTGTTTGTCTATGTGTTCTGATTTTTGCCTAATCCCCACAGAATGACTTCACCCCGTTTTATTGAATTTGTCTGCAAACATGATGAAGTTTTAAAATGTTTTGTTAACAGGTAAGGGTTTCTGAGATTTCATGGACTGTCTTGGCACTCTTTCTTCTCTTTAAGTTTGGTTTCTTCCAAATAGAAAAAAATGCTATTTCTGTTTCTATTCAAAATGTGTTCAATAACAATTCAAAATGCAGTAGGAGAGGATTAATATGTTTTTCTTTTATTTCAGTTATCTATATATCTGAATTTGCATTTCATTTAATGGTATTTGTATTTCTTGTTCATTTAACAAAATATATTTTTCTTTTAGAAATCCTAAAATTATTTTTGACCACTTTCACTTTCTCCTTGAATGTCCTGAGTTGATGTCAAGATTCATGCATATCATAAAAGCACAGGTAGAAATTTTCTTCATCTTGTTTTTAGTCTTAGTAATGAAATAAATTTTTAAAATTCAAATATTATTGGGTGTGGTCAGCATTATACTTAAAACCTCCTGTAAGTAAGAGGGATGGAATTACATGTTGCTTTAATATGAGAAATAAATTTTTCTTCTTGAAGAAATGTGTATTGAGTGCCTACTATGTGCAAATGCCCGTGCAAAGACTACAGAATACATTACTACTACATTTCCTGAAGTGAGTTTCACGAATCAATAGTCCTGTGTCGTGGATGGTCTTTGAGAAAAAGATTTTATCCCCAAATACATTTGGGAAATAAATAGACTTATGTCCTGTGGAAATATGTAAAGTACTTGAGTAGCATGTTAAAAGGCTTTGAGAAAATCTTTGGATAAAAATAGTGATTTAACATTGCTAATCTTTCTAAACTTACTTGACCTGACAGTCTTTCCCCTTATGAAGATTGTAACCTATTTATTCCATATATCTCATGTTTTGTGAAAAAATGCTAGGGAAAAACTTGTTTTGCTTCTAACCAGTTATATGACTTTGGGCACATTTCTTAACATCTTTGACCCTTGATTTCTTCATCTATAAAAGATAATGAACCAACTTTATAGGACTGTTGTGAAGAGTAACCTGTGAAGAGTGCTTGGTATATATGCTTAATAAATGGTAGTTGATTTGGAGATAGAAATCACATTTCTCCAAGAGGATCCAAATTCAATCTAGCAGGGAAGATAATATTTGTACCTATAAGTCAGTAGTTATGTATCACCTGGTTCTTCAGGACTTTAAGGAAGGAAGAACTTGCTTTTGGTTGCTCTAGTGAAAGGAAATTTCAAAAAGGAGGTATATTTTAAATGACTTTGAAAAGCTTGAGAAACGTGCAGTATTTTGATGGGAGTAAAGAGGAGGACAAATATTGTAGCCAAAGTATGGGCTGGCACATGCAGATGGAAATTTCAGTTAGGTGGAAGTACCTGGAAAGGTAGAATAGGTTCATATTGGAATATTGTATTGAGCCTTGATTGCCAGATTGCAGAATCTTCTTTGTTTGTTAGATTGTTTGGAAGCTTCAGGAGAATAACAAATCTTGGCAACATTTTAGAAAATCATTTTAGAAAATAATTTATCAGATGTAAAGGATAGACTAGAGGATGTGATTTCATTAGTAGTCATGAGATAATAAATACCATAGGGTTTTTAGTGTCTTTAGGAACATGAACCCTTTCAGAAGTTAAAAGAGTTAAGAATTCATTTTATAAAATTATACAGATGTACATAGGGATCTTTTGATTCCTGTTTAATAATGATTATGTAAAAGAAGGCAATGATATAACTTATGCTTATTGAATGCTAATTATAGTTTTAGTACCATGTATTTGCTTTACATTAATTATTTAGTTCTCGGAACAATCATTTGCTTTTACTGAATTGAAGGGGTTAAATGACATGTTTAAGCCATTCAGCTATTAAGTGTAAGAAATAGGATTTAAAAGTCTATCTGGTTCTTATGTTTATTTTTGTTGTGGTGGTGGTGGTGATGCTGCGTTTTAAAGCCAGGGCCTCTCACTTGCAAGGTAAACTCTTAACACTGAGTTGCATCACCAATGTCTTAAATCCATGTTTTTTTTTTCTCTCTCTCTCTCTCTCTCTCTCTCTCTCTCTTTTCCTCTCTCTCTCTCTCTTTCTTTGTGTGTGTGTCTGTGCATATGTGTTTGTTTCTAGGGATTGAACCCAGGGCCTTGTGCATGCTAGGCAAGTACACTACCACTGAGCTGTATCACTGGCCCCTTAAGTTCATTTTGTTGACCTGTACTATATGGCTATCTACTAGGGCAAATGAGATACTAGGTAAAAGAAGCTTTTAGTTGTTGAAAAAGAGATAATTTGCTATTTTAATACTATTTCTGTTTTTCATTTTTCCCCTTTACAAACAGTTTAGTCGAAAAGCATCTGCATTCGATATCTGTCCTTTTTGACCAAGTGAGAGAGTTTTGTTAACTTACCAGGATGAAGAATATTCACATGCATCCTGCTGGCCTAGTGTGGGGCTTTGGAGTTTGGGTGTGGTAAGGAGGTATCTGTTTAAAAGAGGGCTCATGATGAGATAGATGAATTGGAGTGGTGTAAAGAGGAGGTCCATGTGGAAGATGGTGGCAGCTTCTCATAGTTACTTGACAGAGCCTCAGTGGGGTGGTGAGCATTCTACAGTGAAGGGGCCATGTCAACAATAGGAAGTTGGTTATATATGGGAGGTAGAGAGGAGGTGAGTGTTGATCAGATAAGTATGGGAGCCTAATGTTGGAGAAGGGAGTTACAAAATGGAGGAAACTAGAACAAATTCTGTGCTATTAAATTTGAATTAACAGATATCAGTGTGAGCACAGTTTTCATTCTTTAAGATTTAGCAAACTTGGCATATAGCTCTTGGTCTTTAAATAACGTTCTAAATGAAGCAGGGCCCATTGGAGAAATGGTGAATTATAAGGTCAGGTTATGGAAAAGTACACGATGAAACTGTAACATTTTCTTGTGCAGGAAAGTAAAGATGTGTTCAAAGAATCATGGAATTATGTCAAAATGACTCAGAATCCAGTTTGAAATGGATTCCCATTGGCCAAATTTGAAACAATTGGAATATCAAAATAAGTAATGATAATAGCATATTATAAATAAGATAGGAATTCATGTGTCTAAACTGGAAAAATTAATGAATGAATTTGGATAGTTCTATAAGGGGTGGGTATTTATAGTCTCAAAATATCTCCTCATAGACTACTTATTACAAAGAGAAAATGGGAGCTTTACAGTGGAGAAGCTTTGCAGTAATCAGAGCAGACATAGTAGTGTGCCAGCTAATAGGATACACTAAGAAGAACATGGCCTCACTTCTGTGATGTTTTTGCTAAAGATGCATACCCTAAATCTAAGTATGAGGAAGCATTAAGCTAACTCTGATAACAGGGATGTGCTACAAAATTAAGTGAACTGCAATCTTTAAAAGTGTCAAGTTATGAAAACATTGAATAACTGTAACCAGAGTGAAGGAGATAGAGAAACAGGATAATTAAATGTAGTTCATGAATCATTATGCTCATAAAGGATATCTTTGGGAAATTGTCAAAACCTGAAATGGGGTCTGGGAATATGGATACAGTAGTGTACCAGTGTTCCTGATTTTTAGTAGTTGTTAACTGGTTATGTAGGATAATTTCTTTGTAGGAAATATATATAGAAAGTATTTATGAGTGTACTGGGCAGCATGTTGGCAACTTACTCTCACATCAAAAAAAAAAGTGTTCTGTACTCAGAAATTTTTTGTAACTTGGAGACTGTTTCTTCCAAACAAGTTGAAGACCAGCTATTTCTAAAGGATTGACTTCTTCTTCTGTTGGTGGTTTTCAGGTGGCCAGTAGTTAAAGGGAGACACATTTTGTGTTGCTGTACAAATGCTATTAAGAGGAGCCTCTATAATCAGTCCTGTTTTGTGAATTATATATGGAAATGCAGGTACTCAGAAAGTTTACATACAAAAATGTGCACTTCAGCTTTGTAGAGCTGTGTATGTATATGTGTGACTGTGTGTGCACGCATGCGTGCACATGTGTATATTGGTCTTATAGATATCTTTATTAGATTTTGAAGGTAGCAGTTGGTACCTTTTAATGTTCTGTATGAATTACTTAAAAAATTGCATTTGTTTTTATTTCTTGGTTCACATTTTATAGATCCAAGACAGTTTAATATCTTAAAATGGCAAGTAAGCTTACTGTCATGTATTGTCATAATTACTGACAATTTTAACATTTATGGGAGTGGTAATAGACCATCATCTATTTATTGTTGTGGATGTTGAGTATTTCCACAAGTTACTTAGCTTCTTAGTGCTACATATCTTTTGCTTCTGTAGATGGGGCTAAGTGTACCTTTTTTTCAGTGTTACGAGGGTTGCCTGTGATTAATGCACCTTAAGGGCTTGAAACAATACCTGGCTTATTGGTGCTTAAAAAGCATTAGCTAATTTGTGATTATAATTATGATTATTATGTTCTGTTGCATTATTTTAAAAATTCTCACAATAAATCCTTGAAGTAGGTTATTATTTTATCTATTTTATGAGTAAGAAAACTAAGTTGTGAGGGAATTAGTAATTTCCCTAGGATTACAAATTCAATAAGTGACTGAGCCAGCAAATATGTTGCTTCAGTGTAAAGTTTTGTTTTCTCCTCTTTACCAAAGTTTTAGAAATAATTAGCATTGAAATTTCAAGTACGTTATATTCCAGTCTGTTTACTAAATATGTGCATACTATATGTGAAAGAGCAAATATTAAAAGATAGAAGTTAATCTCTCACCAGTTATCTAAACTAATAATATTAGTTATCTAAACTAATAATATTTTATTAAGAACTAATAAAAAGCGTTAAGTCTTTTAAAGCAAAACTAATATTTAGTTTAGCTCAACTAAAGAAATTGACTGATAACCTAGAAACTTCCTGAAAGGTAACTTCTTTGTGGTATTCGGGGGTAGTATTGCTCATCCTTACCTTTTGAAACCTGTAGCTTCTGCGGTATTGTGCCACCTTGTTTATCCTTTAACTTTTTTAGTGGTGTGTGTTATTTGCTGAGCAAATTCTCAATCCTGACCTTGGATTGTAAATTTCTTTCTTCTTGGTGGTTATGTTCTGTTCTCTTGAACAAGGTACCTTAGCTTGTTTCCAACTTCAGCTGGACTCTGTTTTTAGTGTTCCAAGTGTAGCAGAGTCAAGTATTTATTTCCAAACCCCTAATAGTTATATCCTACAATAAAATTAAATTCAGGATACATAAAACCTTGTTTATTGTTTTCCCATCAGTGCCTTCTAGGAGTATGGCAATAAGTTGTGGGAGAAAGTTTCTCTCCCTCCAAGTTATATCTGTTAGTAAGTTCTATCTCTAGCGATCTTCTTTTACTTTTCATTTTTATTTAGAGGAGTAATGGCTCTTAGATGTACTGCATACTTCCTCTTTCCTACCACTATGTGGACCTCATTATTTAGTAGCTGTTTTTATAACTTGTACTTGGATAATCTCCCTTTAAATTGGTGCCACACTCACTTTGATTACTGTATTATGTTCTTCTAACCAATATACATAGTGGCTCCTGTATGTTTTACTGGATTCTCAGGATCCTTAATTATGTGCTCAGTTTACTTATACAAACATTTTTCTTTCAACATGTATAGAAATAGAATTCTGTTTATACCAGTGCCTTCACTACATCTTCCAGAGAGACATGATTTCTCCTTTTGTACCTTTCTCTTTGTCTCTCTTAACTTGATATGCCCCCTTTTCTCCTTGCTTGAGCAAGTCCTATTGAGCTTTAAATTCTAGTTCAGAAAATGACTTGTGAAACCTGTGTACTCCATTCATCTTCAAGTTTCTAAATTCTTAGTTGCATCAGTAGTTTGTACTTCACTTTTTAGAATTTGATATATACTATTGAACTGTTCTATGTTATTCTCATCTCTTCAACTTTACTAAGTAGTTTTCAACATGGAGAGTGACACTTATACAGCTTTTATGTTTTAATATTGGCACATACTAGGTACTCAATAATACTTTCAGATTAATCATAAAAATTATAGATCACTTGCAGTTTGCTTTACCTGTTAGATGAATAAAAGACAGAAATTTTCTTTACCATTTAAGAGATCTTATTCTTCAGTTTTTAGGGTGGAGGAAAGAAAGACAGAAGGATAACAAATAACTTTCTAGTTGCTGTCTGTATTTCAAAAGAGAAATAAGAATGAAGATAGGTGTAAAAGATTATTTTCATAAAAACTGAAGTGGAACATTCACTGTAACTTTTTCTGGGTGTGAAAATTCATTCTTGTAAGTTTTGTTGGGTTTAAAATAAATTGAGAATAAATATGTTCAATTATATATCCAACATTAAGTTCTTAGATATAACTTATCAGTATTTTCTATTGAAAATGTGGGAATTTTATGTTTGATCCTAGCCAAATGGCCAAGAAGCAATGAAAATATAAGGATGTTAAAAAATACATTGTCTAGGTTGTCAAAGTATTTCAGCTAGCATCTGCCTTTTTGTGAATAGTTACTGAAATGTTTGAACATTGTCTAATAAATACTTATTGCGAATTAGAGATCTAAGAATGATTATTTGTAGAAATTTACTAGCATTTAGTATGCTAATAAATCTGGTAATTAGGTGACTGAAGTATTATTAATATATTTTCCTGTCATTTTTTTGGGTAGCCATTTAAAGATCGCTGTGAATGGTTCTATGAACATTTGCATTCAGGACAACCAGATTCAGACATGGTGCACAGGCCAGTAAATGAAAATGACATTCTGCTGGTTCACAGAGGTATGTTTAAAAAAGAAAATGATATACGTGTGAGGCACAAAGTACTTGTTATTATAAATTTTAATATGTAAAATTAACTAATGCTACATATTTAGATTCTATTTTTAGGAGTAGCTGTGAAGTTGTATCAAAAGCAAACTGTGCAAAGCTAAAACAAGGGATTGCTGTACGATTCCATGGAGAAGAAGGCATGGTGGGTATAAAAATAAGTGATTTGGAAATTACTGTATATAAAAGAAACACATTTGAATGAAGGTTAATATTTAATTGATAAATAAATTTAATGATTTTAATTTTGTTCTCATTCAGAAAAAAAATTTCCAGCATAATATATTTTTGTTGATGCTAAATTCCATTTTCTTGAACCTTAGGGTCAAGGTGTTGTTCGAGAGTGGTTTGATATTCTGTCTAATGAGATAGTCAATCCCGATTATGCATTGTTTACCCAGTCAGCGGATGGTAAGTTTTGTGGTCTTGACTTTTTGGTGACCTGTCATATTTTTCAAACTACTTCAGTACATTTTGTTGATTCCCACAGTAACCCTGTGAACTAGATGAGGCATTCCCATATCAAAAACTGTAATTCAGAGTTTTTGTCTATATTGACACAGCTGACAAGTGGTAGAACCGAAAATGGAACTTGACTTAGTGTAGTAGAGTTGGTTTCCAAATGCTTGTCTTGAGGTCCTGAACAAGTTCTTATCTGCCCTTTGAAGTTTATTCAATTAATATTTATCCTTTAGCCTACTTTTTTAATATTTATTTTTCAGTTTTCAATGTACACATCTTTATTTTATTTTATGTGGTGCTGAGGATCGAACCCAGCGCCCTGCACATGCCAGGCAAGCACATTACCGCTTGAGCCACATCCTAGCCTACTTTTTTGGCTAACGTTTTCTTCCATAAAATAGTGTTGCTAGTAATGGACTTAAAAAAAAGTCCTTATTTGGAAAAATAAAAATTTGCTAACCCTATTTGAATTTCTACATCTAAAATTTAGTGTGATTCCTCCATTGTGAGAGTTCTGCTTCCTTTATGTTTCAGAAATAAATTCTGTTACTTTATTCTAAAAAGAAAAAAAGATATTGGTTATGAAAACCAAAAATCTAGAAATTGTGATGTTAAATCTTAACTCATAATCTATTTATGCATGCTGACTTTTTTTTTTTTCAGTTCTTTTACGAGATCAAGACCTGACAACTACAAAGCTCTTACCTAACCATATAATACAGATGAATAGCTCTCTTTGTGGAAATGGTTTTTGGACCTATAGATTGTAATTTGATATTGTAGACTAAATGGAATTGGTTACCACCTCATTTTTGTGAGGGTATGTTTGAGAGCTCTGTAATAAAGACTTATATTTGAAGTGAAAGTAGGATTTTAGATTTCAGATGCTTTGCGCACAGTTCCATTGTTTTTCCTGCAAATCTTTTCTTTCTCCAGTATTTACATTCTCTTACAAGGAGAGAATACCTAATTAATTGTAGCTTCTGACTGCTTCCAAACAAGTGTAGCAGCAAATCTCCATTTAATAAGAAGGATTACTTTAGGAGAGGCCAACAGGAGTGGGCTGCAATGAAGCTAGGAAGCTGCAGGCATTCACCTATGTAATGCGCTCCTTGGGTATTTGAAATTACTTAAGAATATGGGACTGCCTGCTTTAATTTTGTAACCTTTGATTGTTTGCTCTGTGGTGAATTTAGTGTCTTTGTGAACAGTGTGACAAGTTCAATGAAGCGCTAAGTTTAAAGATTTTAGGCCTAATCTTTAAAACTCAATTCAGCATATTTTAGGATTTTCTTTTCTTTATAGTCCCCTCATTCTGCCTCTGTTTAGTTTCATACCTGAAATTCAGATTTGATGTGAAAATCATTACTAGAGGTACTTCCTTAATACCACATAACAAAGCAAATGTTGAGGGGATAGACTGTAAAAATTGTGGTTCTTTTTGTAAACTACATGTTTTCTCTTTGGGGTCATGGTTTTAATAATAATTTAAAAATCTAAGTGAAATATTATTTTGTTATTAAGTTTAGTTTCATGAAGGAATTTCATTTAGGATTTAAGAGTTCCTGAATGTGGGGAACATCTGGGGAGACTGTTATTTGTACCAATTTTTTTAAAAAAACTTATTTTCTAATCAAATTAAGATGCTCATGATAGAGAAGCAGCTTATGATACTGTTTGAGTTTGGACTTTGGGGTTACGTTAGGTGTTAATATCGGCTCTGCCACTTTTTAAATTTGATGTTAGACTAGTGAAGTTACATTTAATTGAAAATGGTGATAACTTGTTTTATAACATAATGAGAATTCAGTTAGTGGATATGTCAATTAGCTGAGATGTGAAAATGTTTATTTTGATGCATGGCACAAAGAAAGCATAAAATAAGTATTAGGTACTGTTACTATTATTCTTTGAAAATAATTATGTAGTAGGATTTCCTTCTTGAAAATGTATTTTCAGGGCTTGAGATATAACTCAGTGGTACAACATTTGTCTTGTGTGCACAGGGCCCTTTGACTGCCAGCACCACAAAAAAAAGTTTTTCATTATATTTTGAAAAATATCTCAATATATCATATTTATCTGAATAATGGTTCAGATAATTCAGAACACATGCCAGTGTTCAGTCATCCCTCAGAATCTGCTAGTGATTGGTGCAGGCCCCCTCTAAACACATCATAATTTGTGGATGGATACTCAAGTCCCTTCTATAAGATGGTCTGGTATTTGCATTTAACCTATTCATATCCTCCCATATACTTTAGATTATCCCTAGATTACTTATTTTTTTTAAACATTTATTTATTTTTTTAGAAGTAGTTAGACACAATAGCTTTATTTTATTTATTTATTTTTATGTGGTGCTGAGGATCGAACCCAGGACCTTGCATGTACTAGACTGAGCCACAGTCCCAGCCCCAGAATTTTTAATAGTGAAAACAAGAACTTGGGACCGTTATAGCTGTGATTATTTTGAACTTAAAAATTTTAATATAAATTTTATACTGTTTTTTTTTTCTTTAAATTTCTCCTTATCTATTCTTTTAAGAATCTAAATTTCCCAGAAAGTATTAGATAGTGAAAGAATTACACAAAGCTAGGAGAGGAAAATAGACTCATCAATAAGTGCTGGTTCACCAGTAACCCTAACGTTCACTATTTGAACAGATAAAAAAATTTTTGTGATATTCTCAAAATAATATGGTTTTGGAATTATGGTTATGCTAATCTTTGATGTCTTTCTTCTTCTCCAAGGCCTTGCTCTGTCTTTTCATATCCAGTCATACCTCATGACTGGAAATTATTCAAAGGTACTTAAGAGTGAATGATAAACTTCATGTGGCTTATTTAGCCCATTCAACCATAGGCTTCTAAATTTTTTCCCTTATATCTAATTAAATGGGTGACAGCAGTTTAATCCAATTTCAACAATGAGAAATCAAAGCTTAAAGTATTATCACAAATATGTATTCCAAATGACCAAACATTTCACTAATAATATTTTCTACTTTATTTTTCTTTGATTCTATTTCTGTTATATTTATCAGTTATCCTTTGTTTTAGCCTCAGTACCTAGAACAGTAAGTAGTACATAGCATGAGTTCATATGTTTCTTGAATGAATGAATTTTTAATCCAGGTTAATGATCATCACAGAAGAATCAGTGGAGTTGAAGTTGAGAAGTTGACATTAGGTTTTTCGATTGGACTATGTATTTTTGTGTGGTAAAATATGTAATATTGATCATTTCAACCATTTGAAAGTCTACAACTTATTGACACTATTGACCTATTATGCTGTACAACCATCACCACTGATTCCAGAACTTTTTTGTCAGCCGAAGCAGAAATTCTGCTTGTTAAATAACTCCTCAGTCTTTCCCTAGTCTCACGTAACGACTTGAAGTATAATCTACTTTGAATATATATGAATTCACTTATTCTAGATATTTCATAAAAGTGGAATTATACTCTTAAAAATTAGATTTTGACACTGTAACCAGTAACTGTTACTCTTGCCATTTTTCCTTTTACCTCAGCATTAATTGTTTAAACTTGATTATTTGCCATGTGAAAGAAGTGGTTGACTTGGAAACTTAGATGATTTTCTGATCATTGTTTAACAGGCATTAAGATCAATGACTAGGTCTATTAAGAACAGTTATACATTTAAAAGTTTTATTCTTTCTCATAACTGTTTGCTTTCCTTGAGAAGCAAAAATAAGTGATTAATAATTGCCCTGGACATATATAGATGAATGAGACAATATCTGCCCTAGTTTATAGCCTAGTATTTATTGCCACACTGCCTAGGAAAATGGGTGTTCATACGTGTTTGTGTATTGTCTTTTACTAGGTTTTTTGGAGGTATCTAATGTTCTTCCAACTACTTTCAGTTGAAAGTATTCTAAAATTTTCTCTTTATATTTGGACTTGTTCTGATAATGTATGTGAATTAATGGTTATTTTCAGTACTTCCATTTCTACTGCCTGTTTGTGTATCCACAAAGAACATTCCTGTGGAAGCTTATATATGATTAGCTTTACTGAAGTTATATGTGATTTAATTTATTTGCATTTAAGTTATCTCTCTTCTGCATATAGATTCCTAAGTATAATTTTTTTGGTATTTATTTTAATAGGAACAACTTTTCAGCCTAATAGCAACTCCTATGTAAATCCTGATCACTTGAACTATTTCCGGTTTGCTGGCCAGATCTTGGGATTAGCTTTGAACCATAGGCAGTTGGTCAATATTTACTTCACACGATCATTCTACAAACACATTCTTGGTATGGTTTTATTTTTTATTTCTGTACACATGTTTTACAGTAATTTTCTTAAGTTTTTAAGGGTGAACTAAGTAGGTAATCATTGGCATTTGAATGAGATAATTTTTATTTTGATTGGACACCATCTATGTGTAAGGCATTTGGGGGTCAGAGGCAAAAAAAATGACCTATTTTTAAAAAAACACTTCTAAATTTTTGTTTTTTATCATGTATATGTTTGTGCAAAGAATACAATTTAATAAGATATTTGGTACTTCTGAAATTTTATGACAACTTACAGAATATCTATTTTAAAGAAAGATTTCATTGTAAAGATGTGGAAAAAAAAGGCTTAATATTTGGAATTCCACATTTAGGAATTAGATCCATTTAAAGCCATGCTGTGAATTGGATTCTGTTTTGCAGTTTTTCAATGTATCCGTAGAGGGCAGTATTTTACCATTAAACAGATGAGGAAAGACAGAAAAATGGACTGTAACTGCTGTGTTTTTGCATTTTTTTAGGTATTCCTGTAAATTACCAAGATGTAGCATCCATTGATCCAGAATATGCCAAAAATTTGCAGTGGATTTTAGATAATGATATTAGTGATCTAGGTCTAGAATTAACTTTTTCTGTTGAAACTGATGTGTTTGGAGCAATGGAAGAGGTGCCTTTGAAACCTGGGGGTGGAGGTATTCTTGTGACACAAAATAACAAAGTGAGTATTTGAATGTTTACCTTAATTATTGTTTGAAGTTTGGATTTGATAATTTGCCAATTACTCCAAATTGTTCTAGTACTTGCTAGAAAAGCTTTTATGCTGTAGATTAAAACATTTGAGTTAACAAAACTATCAAATATCAAACTTGAATTGGAAAGGATCATTTCAGTATTGTTTTACCTAGGTACGCTGAGATGGTTCCTAAAGCAGTCTGGACGTTTCAGTTGATCATACCAATTGTACATTTACAAATGCATTTGAAAATTTTAATAATGCAAACTTAATCAAAATAATACTTGTAATAATCACTATTTCAAAAGTGTGATTAAAGAGTTTTAATATAGGACTGGGACTGTGGCTCAGCGGTAGTGCACTTGCTTGGCATATATGAGGCACTGGGTTTGATTCTCAGCATTGCATATAGATAAATAAAATAAAGGTCTATCAACAACTAAAAAAATATTTTAAAAAAGTTTTAATATAGAAAAGAAGAAATACCAATGTTTAAACTTTGGAAATGCTTTTAAGTTCCAGTAAATCTGTTAGACCTCTTGATGTATATATTTCTAATTTTATATCTTGGTTGTTTTTATTATTGTATCTTCTCTATACATGTTATCACAAAATCTTGCATTTGTTTTAAATGCTGAAAATCATAAACTTTTGAAAATCATAATCAAATATACAATACAGTATTATATTTTGCTATATTATGAAGGAGATTCGGAATCAGAAAATCTGGTTTTGAATTCCAGTTATGTATGAATAGCATCTTCTTGTTAAACAAACCTAAAACCTTCTTCCATTCCTTAGTCATGTTTTAATTCCAAGACAACTTCAGAATTAACCATAAAGATTGTCTGTTAAACCATTTTGTAGATTGTAGACTTTTTGTCGTTGTTGTTATTATAATAGTGCTGGGGGCCGAACCCAGACAGAACCTTATGCAATGATAGTCATGTTCCCTGCTACCACTGAACTGCATTGCTGGCCAAAGACTTAGTCACATTTTAACAACTCATTGAGCCTCAGTTTTCTACATCCTATAGAACTGGAATAATAATATCTACCATGCAGAATTGTCATTGACATTCTGTAAAATGAAAAGTAGCACAAAAGTTGTAGTAGTAGTAAAGAATGCTATTGGGTAGTATTCTTAAATAGTATGTTCTTAGTTTCACATATATAAAGGAAATTATGAACCTGTATTAAGATATACAATTTTACTTCTTAAATCTCTTGTGCTATACTTATACAAAAATATGCAGTTGAGTTATTAGAAATAAAATTGGGAGTTGAGCTTTTACTCACTATACTTAGAAATTTTTAGCTTTCCCTCTGATTTTGTATACAAGGACACTGAATCCTAAAGAGTTAATGGCAAAGGTAATACCAAAACTCAGGTCTCTTAATTTCAAGTCTAATGTTCTTCATGCTGTATGCAAAATTAATCATATTGAGGAAAAACCTACCTAGTTTTTAATATAATGAGTCATGTTAGACTGTTGAAAATTAAGATAGTAAAGTGTTTAAACTAATTTTGAAATTTGTATGAACTTGGGAGTGAATGAAAATATTTTAAAAATCTTTAGATTGTTCACCTTGTAGTACATTTATTATTTTATTTTACACCGAAGACCAACCTTCAATTAAAGGTAATGAAGTCATAGAATCTTTTTTTTTTTTTAGTTGTAGATAGTCACAATATGTTTATTGAATTTATTTTTTTATATGGTGCTGAGGCTTGAACCCAGTGCCCCACACTTGCCAGGCAAGCGCTCCACCACTGAGCCACAACCCCAGCCCCCATAGAATCTTTATTAAGCAGGTAATTGTTTTTCAGGGAAGAACCATAAATGTAATTCTTATTGGTGAATACTATACCTAGTGAGTAGTTTGATGAAGTGGAATGACCATTTAACAATTCAGTGATACATAGCTCTATTTATGCTTGCATTTTCTAGCCACTCCACTAATGACATGATTTTTATTTAGATTTTATAAAATACTTATTAGTTTTTACATTCATGTTTTTTATTGGAATCTAGAAAGAAGGAAATAGTAATTAAATAATTATAAATTAAAATATGCTCATGGAGGATGTACCTTTCATTGTGAGTCTTGTCTGAGGATGGAATACTATGGTAATTAAAGAGTTTGAAACATTTATTTCTAAGTGTAACACTTTTTAATTTGACCAGTTGCTTGGTTGATAATGAGCTAACTTTAAAAAAAATAATTAGGATTGATAATAGCAGGATCTCAGTCATAAATATGTTAATAATTATTCTCAACTTTTATTTTTCTCATATAAAAATTTCTCACAATAAATCGAGTCTCCATTTTCTAAAGTTACCAATATAATTGTATTATCAAATTTTTGGGTGTTTAGACATTTAATATTTATTTAATAAACAACCAGATTAATTTAAAACTTAAAAATCTTTAGGAACATACCACATCTTAAACTGATTACTTGCCTTAAAATTGTTAAAGTATTTAGTACATAAAATGTTCATTTAAAAAATCAAACCTGAAGAATATAATTTTTTTCGATTTATGCATTCTACCATGAACTTTACTGTCACTTTAGAACTAGTCCATTATTTACTTATGTTTATAAGTATATAGTTGTAATTGTCATGTCTAGAGTTGAACTTTATAATTTTAACTGTTTTGAAATTTAAATGACTTGCCAAACTTATTAGTAAGAGAGATCCTATTTAAACTGATTTCCACATGAGGGAGTTATTATTCCTAAATTTTATTAAAGGCCTTTGTTAATTACAGAATGAAAACAAAATGCCTTTTATTTTATTTTATTTTTTTTTAAAGAGAAAGTGAGAGAGAGAGGGGGACAGAGAGTGAGAGAGAGAGAGAGAATTTTAACATTTATTTATTTTTCTTAGTTCTCGGCGGACACAACATCTTTGTTTGTATGTGGTGCTGAGGATCGAACCCGGGCCGCACGCACGCTAGGCGAGCGTGCTACCGCTTGAGCCACATCCCCAGACCCCAAAATGCCTTTTCTCTAAAATCCAGTATATTAAATGAATGCATGTAATACAGGCAGAAGAATATATATTAGTTCCACATTTGGATATATAATGTTTTAAATTTTGTAGCTGTTAGTGATTTGTTTTAAAAGCTAGAGGGGAAAAAATCCCTCATTGTTTTCATTTTGGAAAATAGTTGTATTATCAGAAGTTGAAATTTTAACATTTAAAGAGTTTTTCCATCTCTTTAAAAATAATTTTGATTATTCTTAACCAAAACCTGAAATATTAGAGCCATAATTCTTGAGTTAGATGCATCCTTTTTTGCTTAGATCTTCAGTTTTAGCTCTTGGAACTGAATGATAAACTACATGGAATTTAAATACTAGCATTGCTTTTACAATATTAATCATAAAGTTCATGCAGACTTGGATAATGGAATGAGCACGGGGTAGGGCAGGATCTCAGGGAATGGATGGAGGAGGCAGTAGGAGAGTTGAATTATAGAGAAATATAAAGTGGTCAGGTAAGAATAAGGAAAGAAAGAAGGAAATGTTCTGGGCTCCTCAGAAGGCACACAGATGACACAGAGCATGGCATATTTGAGGACCCACAGTAGCTCAGAGTCTTGGAGCTTGGCTTACATTGCATAATGAGTGAGAGAGAAAAGATGAGGTGGGGGAGGTAGACTGGGGCCAAATTATGAAAGACTGCACCTATAACAAGAAATTTGAGGCTATAGGTAGGGATGATTGCAAATGTTAAATAAGGGTTCTGGTTGTTTTTTTTTTTTTTCCATTTTTGCTTTGAACTTAACTTTGAGCATGAAGAATGTGTTGAAATGGAGCAATATTGTAGTCGGGCAACCAATAGGAGGCTGTTGCATTGTTTTCAGGGAGCAAGCATGAGGAGTTTTCTAAGGCAGTGGTAGTGAGAATGGAGAAGAGGACATAACTTTAATAGAATTTATAGAACTTGGTTGTAATTGTTTGGAAAGATGAGAAAGAGGAAGGACTAAAGGGTGATTGCAACTTTTGTGGATTCTACTTCCAAATGATTCATAATGTTGCCATTCTACTCTCTGTTTATCTCATTGCCCTTTATTTCTGTTTTCTAGTGATAATAATAGGATTACCTTTTGTATATTTCATATACTTGAATTATATACTTTTAAATTTTTCATTTACTGTAGTAACCTTTTGATTGAATTATTTCTCTTTATCCAATATGAAAATAGTCTTAATATTAAAACTATCTGACATTTATTAGGTGCTTATAATGTTCTAGGCAGTGTTTGAAGTGTACAGGTGAGGAAATGGAAATATATAGGGCTAAATAGCATCACCCAAATCACAGTTAATAATTGGTGAGGCTAGGATTTGAACCCCTGTGCTAGATACATTTTTTTTTAAAATAGTTTTTTAGTTGTAGATAGGCACAATACATTTATTTTATTTGTTTATTTTCATGAGGTGCCAGGGATCGAACCCAGTGCCTCATGCATGCTAGGCAAGCGCTCTACTGCTGAGTCACAATCCTGGCCCCTTAGATATATTTTTAAACCTGCTTTTAAGCAAGATACTGTATTCTTTAGGAAAAAAAAAAATGAGTTCTTAATGGAGAAATTTTGAGACAGAGTCTTGCTAAATTGCTTAAGGCCTCAGCCTCCTTAGCTGCTAGGATTACAGATGTGCACCACTGTGCCTGGCCTTTTTATTTTTTGTATTGAGATAGGGTCTTGCTAAATTGCTGAGGCTGGCCTCAAACTTTTGATCCTCTTGTCCGGAGTCACTGGGATTACAGGAGTGCCATACCATACTCATTTGAAATTTTCAGTAAAAACTATTATATGCCAGAGCAATAATAATCAGGGAGATAAATCCAGGAAGGAAGGTTTTGTTACCAACAGTTTATATAAACAGTGAATTGTCAGTAATAGTACCATTTAAACAGTTGATTGCTTAAAAAAGAAAATCCAACAAATGAAAAAACCCACAAACCATTCCAAACAATTTTATAAATGTGGCCAAGAATATCAATCTAGTTAAAGGGGGAGAAGAGCATTTTGTTTTTACTATTAAAAATTATTTAACTGTTATTCAAATAACTATGATTTATTGAGGTATATATCAAGAAATAGTAAAAAAAGATTTTCAAGAAGGAATTTGCAGGGAAATGGATAGCATTAGAGCAGGTTATGCTAAGTGATGCTAGCTAATCGCTAAAAACCAAATACCGAATGTCTTCTTTGATATAATGAGAGCAACTAAGAACAGAGCAGGGAGGAAGAGCAGGAGGAAAAGATTAACATTAAACCGAGACATGAGGTGGGAGGGAAAGGGAGAGAAAAGGGAAATTGCATGGAAATGGAGGGAGACCCTCATTGTTATACAAAATTACATATAAGAGGTTGTGAGGGGAATGGGAAAAATAACAAGGAGAGAAATGAATTACAGTAGATGGGGTAGAGAGAGAAGATGGGAGGGGAGGGGAGGGGGGATAGTAGAGGATAGGAAAGGTAGCAGAATACAACAGTTACTAATATGGCATTATGTAAAAATGTGGATGTGTAACCGATGGGATTCTGCAACCTGTATTTGGGGTAAAAATGGAGTTCATAACCCACTTGAATCTAATGTATGAAATATGATATGTCAAGAGCTTTGTAATGTTTTGAACAACCAATAAAAAAAAAAAGAAAAAAAAAAGAAGGAAATTAGCTTAGAGAACTATGTGTCAATTTTCAGTGTCCCCAATGCACTCCATTGGAGGACATAATTTAGGCCTAAAACCTGAAGAAAAGTTAAAATTTTAAGGAGTGTCTTTGAGGGATGATGTTATTCATTTTACATATTAAGAAGATTAGGAGATTACTGAAGCAAAATGTTTCTATAAGTAGACAGTAATTGAACTGGAATGTAAATGTCTGAAAGTTGAATCACCTTAGTCTTAGTGTGCATTCCGTTTATAGTTACTTTTCTCTTATATCTTTATATCAATTATCAGGCTCAGAGGTTGTGCTGGAAAAAAGTTGCTAGAGCTCTTTTTTTATTCTCTGTTGAGGCTTTCTAGGTTGAATATTTCTGTATGTCAACGTATTATCTTATATATGGTCACTTCTCCAATTTAATTCCATAGCATCTCATATTTTATGCCCTCAAAGAATTGACTGCAAAACTTATTAGGAACAGTATATGCTATCTGTTGGGGATAAAATATCTTTACTCTTAGCTTTTATCAGTTTTATTATTTTTAAAAATTTTTAATTGTATTTTAACAAATTATGTTTGTATATATTTTATGGATACAAATTGATGCTATGACTTATGAATAAGTCAAGCTAATTAACACATCTATTACCTCAAATACTGACTATTTTTTGTAGTGAGAATGAATATATTAGTTTTTTTAATACCTTAGAGCAAAGTCAGATTTTAGATTTGATTTATATTTATTGTTTAGTTTTGACACTTCTCATTCCACTGTTTTATGGATTGGCTATCATCTATGTGTGCACTGTTTCCTTAAAGCTTATATGAAACAGTGTAATTTTGCAAGGATATAAAATCACCTATAAGCCCTTTATAGGTAATGGAAGGTAGCTATTATATTTCTGCATAACAAAAACAGTTGGAATGTTAGTGTGTAAAATTAGTAAGTGTTCATTGTAACAATTGGATTGCCAAGAAGATGTTAATTTTATTTGAAGTTGTGCTGTTTAAAGAGACAGGGAAAAATATATTAGAGGCAGTTTGATTAATCACAGTTATCTTTCATTTATCTTTATTCTTCTAAACAACTCAAAGTTTATAATGACTAGGATTTTATTATTTTACTGAAAGGTAATTTAAACCAAGAGACAGTCACATTTAAATTCCTTAATTGCTATGAGGATTAGGATGTGAAGGAGCTGATTTTCACAAATCCATATCTGGTAGCTATGGACTGGTTACTGAAATAAATACAGAAAATAATTAATGTTTGAAGGAATAAAAGATAAAAGTGTGAGGAAAGATTAGTACACATATAAAAATTTATTATTTTTTTAATATTTATTTTTTAGTTCTCGGCGGACACAACATCTTTGTTGGTATGTGGTGCTGAGGATCGAACCCGGGCCGCACGCATGCCAGGCGAGCGCACTACCGCTTGAGCCACATTCCCAGCCCCACATATAAAAATTTAAAAATTGAATGTATGAGGACATAATAGGAACTGATTAAATCCAATAGATATGGAATGCAACTAATATAGGTAAACTTTACTTAGGCAATTCACAAATCTTATTTTCATACTTTATAATTTGTTAAGACCTTTTTCTCCTCAGTGTTTAGAGTATTCACTCCGAATTATTGAGAACTCTACATAGCATATTGCTTTTAACTCTCAAAAGTTTTACTTAGGCCAGGTGTGGTGATGCATGCCTGTAATCCCAGTGGCTCAGGAGGCCGCAGCAGGAAGAACTCAAATTCAAAACCAGCCTCAGCAATTTAGTAAGGCCCTGAGTAACTCAGTGAGACTCTGTCTGAATGTAAAATATAAAAAAAGGCTAAGGATGTGGCTCAGTGGTTAAGCACCACTGTGTTCAATGCCTGGTACTAGGGGGAAAAAAGTTAGAAGTAATTTAGAAAAATATATAAAGGATAACATCCAATAGTTTATATACACATACATGTATATATGATAATCATTCATTCTGGTCTGTGCCAAAATACATTTTTATTATCAGTTAAATTTTAATAATAATGTGTGAAAATAGTTTAACTCAAAATTGAATTGGCTATGATAAAATGAGTCATTTTATTAAGCTTAGAATGTGTGTTGTTAATTTGTTAATGTATGCATTCATTTTTATCACTTATTTATTAAATATTTACAAAGTAGCAGCCACTCTTAGGAGCAGGGGATATATACTGATAAATATAAAACAAAGTTCCTGTCTGCAGAGAGTTTATATTCTAATGAGACATTTCGGTTAGAAAGCCTCAAAGTATAAAGACAGAGAGGCCTAATTGATCTTGTGTTTGGGGAATAGTTGGACGGCCAAGGAAGAGAATTGAATGCACCGACCTAGGGGAGGAGTGAAAAGGAATGGGATCAGTGAGCAAAGCAGAGCCCAGATCAATAAGAGCCTTACAGACTGGGAAAGGTTTTTATTTGGATTTTACTGGGTCATGTGAAGTCATTGTAGGGTTTTGAGCAGGAAAGTTATGTGTTATATATCTGTATTTTTTTTTTAAAGAGAGAGAATTTTTAATATTTATTTTTTAGTTTTCGGTGGACACAACATCTTTATTTTATTTTTATGTGGTGCTGAGGACTGAACCCAGTGCTCGCACATGCCAGGGGAGCGCGTTACCACTTGAGCCACAACCCAGCCCAATATATCTGTATTTTTAAAAGCCACTTTAGCTGTGGTAGGAAGCAAAATGGAAACAGGTGTTGCTGTAATCAAGCTAGAGATGATGATGGCTTGGATCAGGGTGCTAGAAGTAGAGGTAGTTAAGACTAAGTCAGATTGAGAATATTTTTTAAAGATAGATCTCACCGACAAAGTCTGAGAGAAGTCATGGGTGATTGATTACTAGGATTTTGGCCTAAACAACTTAATGAATGGTGGTGTACTGTTTTGTTGAGTTTTATGAATATTGGCACCAAATTAATTCCAAACCTTTACCTCTTAAATGAGAAATTTGTTCTATCAACATTATCTTACATGAGATTTAAAAAGAAGTCATCACAAAAACTTTTTTTTTTTTTTTTGTAGGCAGAGTATGTCCAGCTTGTTACTGAACTTCGAATGACTAGAGCCATTCAGCCTCAGATCAATGCTTTTTTACAGGGCTTTCATATGTTTATTCCACCTTCTCTCATACAGCTTTTTGATGAATATGAATTGGTAAGGAAAAATGTGGGGTTTTGTTATTGTTGTTATTTAAGAGTGTAGAACTCTAGTTGATTAATTCAGAAATAATTTTAGAGTACTATAATGAATGGAATAAGGTATAATGAGGCATTGTGGTTTAGTATTCATGTTTGAGATTTGTTATAAGGTTTGTGGTTGTAATTCTCTTAAACTTAATAAGCAGATTAACAATTCCTTAATGTGAAGTGGGGTGAGGTTTTGATAAACAAAAATGGATGTATTTCTAATGTCTTTTACATAGGAGATATTGAAGGCCAGTCTTCTTCCCGTAAGAATATTCCACATTACTCCTGAAATTTTTATTTGGCCATATCAAGTAAGGATGCTGATAGTAATTTGCTGTGCTTACAAAAGAAATTAAAAGGGCTTTTTCTTATTTTACTTATCTGGTCTTCTTCAGCTTCTTATTTTACCATATATGTAATTTTATAAATTTCTACTTTAGACCTCTGTAGAGTTCATTCTCTTTGCTATCCTTTAGTTCCTAATGTTTGTTTGTTTTGTTCCTGTAACTTATCTGCCATCTACAGTGATCTAACAGAATTTCTAATTTTATATGATTTATGTCTGGGTTTTTCTTCCATATCCTTTTTTTTGTAATAAGTTATTTTCAGATTCTTTGCATTATAGTTTTTAATAAAACAGTATTTTAAGTAGAAATAGCTTCTTATTTAAAAATTATAATTAGGAATAGTAAATTCACTTTGCCTTTTCATTTTACTATATGATAGACACTGATGTATACCTTTACTTTTACATATGTTGATATTTTCAGTTTATTGTTCATAGTATATCTTAGTTTAGTAATGAAAAAAATTTGCTAATTTTGAAGTTCATTGCAACTTAATTTCATTAAATGTAAGTTTTGCAATTGTTTCAAGCTGAAAGATTAATGGCTTCATTTGGCATAAATTCATTTTTTAGGTAATTATAAAAGTTTTAGCACTTAAAAATGAAGGAAGTGCTTTTGAACTGTTACTACACGTTACTTAAATCTGACTTTTTCTATGTAGTTGTGTTAAATTAGTCATGTGAAGTTTAAGAAAGAATTAAGTTATTTTCTAGACCTATCTGTATGTGAAAAACAGCAACAACAAAATTGATTGGTGAAAAAATTGCTTGATAATTTACTGATACTGATAACTTTATAAAAATAAAAAGCTGTGCATAGTAAATGTAAAGCTTAGTGAATCTTAATGAAATGAACACACTTGTGAAAATAGCTCCCAGATTAATTCAGAAATCCTAGCACCTGAGATTTTCTTCTTGTGTCCCCTTCCAGTTAGTATCCCCTCTCAAGTATAATCATTCTCTTAACTTCTAAAATCATATTAGGTTTACATATTTATAAAATGTGTGCCAATGGAAAGAGCTCAGTTTTTTTTTGTTGTGAGAATCACACCTATTATTACATGCAACTGTAATTTTTTCATTTTCATTGCTGTGTAGTATTTCATTGTGTTAGTTTCCTATTGTCATTTCTACTTTTGATGAACTTTTGTGGCTTCTTTTTCATTAAAGGCTAGTTCAAGTAGTGCTACTATAAGCACTCTAGTATGTCTTTAGGAGGAAAATATGTATATGTTCTGTAGTATATACAACTTGGAATAGAATTGCTGGGATATAGAGTGTGTGTGAATTCCATGTTAGTAGATAAGTAGCAAATAGTTTTCAAAATTTATGTGTCAATATACACTCCAATCAGCAGTGAGATTTCTGGGTGTTCCATATCTTCAATCAGTATTTGATATTTTCTGTTTTGTCTTTTTTCATTTTTACTATTTTGGTGGATCTGTAGTGTTTTTTAATGATATTAATTTGTATTTCCCTGATGACTAATGAAGTTGTTTATTGGTTATTTGTGAATTCTGCTTTTGAAGTGTCAAGTAATTTGTCTATATTACTATTTTCTGTTGTTCTGTTTGGAGGATTCTTTATGTGGGTCCTTTATCAGATATATGTATTGTGAATATCTGATATCTTTCAGTGAATAAAAAAATTTTATTTTTACACAGTTCAGCCTATCTTTTTTAAAAATTTTAATGATGCACTTAAAATTTTTTTTTCTAATTTTTTTTTTTTTTTTAGTTTACATGACAGTAGAATCCATTTTGACATAATTATACAAGCATGGAATGTATTTTATTCTAGTTAGGACCCCATTCTTGTGGATGTACATTATGGTGGGATTTATTGTGGTGTTTTCATATATTTACATAGGAAGATCAAGTCAGATTCCTCTCACCACCTTTCCTTTTCTGTTCTTTTTCCTTTCTCTCCATTCCCCGTTGTCTAATCTATTGAGCTTCTGTTCCCCGCCCTCCCCATTGTGGGTTAGTTTGTACATATCAGAGAGAATATTCAACCTTTGGCTTCTTAGAATTGGCTTATTTCACATAGCTTAATAGTCTCCAGGTCCATACATTTACTGGCAAATGCCATAGTCATTCTTCTTTAGGCTGAGTAATATTACATTGGGTGTGTATGTATATGTGTATTTATCTATCATATTTTCTTTATTCATTCATCTGTTGAAGGGCATCTAGGTTGATTCCATAGCTTAGTTATTGTGAATTGAGCTGCTGTAAACATTGATGTGGCTGCATCACTGTCGTATGCTGCTTGTGTGTGTGTGTGTGTGTGTGGTGCTGGGGATTGAACCCAGGTTCTTATGCATACTAGGCAAGCACCCTACCAACTGAGCTATCTCTCCAGTCCTAGTATGATAATTTTAATTTTTTTTTTTTTAGTTATACATGGACACAATATCTTCATTTTATTTATTTATTTCTATGTGGTGCTGAGGATTGAACCCAGTGCCTCATATGTTCGAGGCAAGTGCTCTGCCACTGAGCCACAACCCCAGCTCAGTATGCTGATTTTAAATCCTTTGGATAGATACTGAGGAGCAGGATAACTGGGTCAAATATTGGTTCCATTCCCAGTTTTCTTTCTTTTTTCTTTTTTTGGTACCAGGGATTGACCTCAGTGGCACTCAACCACTGAATCACATCCCCAATTCTATTTTGTATTTTATTTAGAGACAGGATCTCACTAAGTTGCTTAGCTCCTCGAGTTGCTGAGGCTGGCTTTGAACTTAAATCCTCCTGCCTCAGCCTCCCGAGCTGCTGGGATTATAGGCGTGCGCCACTGTGCCATTCCCAGTTTTTTGAGGAGTCTCCATATTGCTTTCCACAGTGGTTGCACCAATTTACAGTCCTTAATGGTGAACCTTTTTATGTCTTGTTTAAGGAACTTTCTTATTTCAGGTCATAAAGATACTTTTTTGTGTTTTAAAAGTTTTTATTCTTTCACATTTAGGTCTGCTACTGGGTGTTTTTGATTGTAGTACTTGAGTCAGTTTTTTTTTTTTTTTTTTTTTGTGAGTCCAGGGGATGGAGTTTTTTATTCTTTAAAATTTACACAACAGCAGTGGAAAGCATTAAAATTCTTATTACATATATAGGCATAATTTTTCATATCCCTGTATATAAAGTATGTTCATACCAATTTATGCCTTTATACATGTACTTTTTTTTGCATTACAATTTTTAATATACATATATACCACAATTTTTAGTATTGAATCAGGTTTCTTAGTTTGTCTTTGACTCAGGCTTTAATTGAGTTGATTCAAATTTTAGTTTAGCAACATTGTAGTCATGGCTCTGATTTATACAATTTAAAGCTTAAATAAAAAGGGCTGGGGAAGCAGCCCAGTAGTTCAATTCCTAGTATCAAAAATAAAGAAAGAAAGAAAAAGAAAATGTTGCCAACAGTGTTGTCATTAATCCATTCTAATACTGTTGTAATTGAGGGGTTCCTACCTAATGTCTGAGAAACTGTCCTTCCTTTCTCTGGTGCTCAAGACTTTACTCATGATGGTACTAGAATAAAAAAATAACATTGAGTAATGTGAATACTAAGTACGGTTATAGCTATGAACATTTGCATGACTCACATTCTGCTAGTATTGGTGATATACATTATATCCAGTTTCAATAGACATTTCTTTTGTTATATTTAAAAAATTTAGTTCTCATGTTAATATTTTTTAAATGGGTAAATTATTCATTGGGACTTAATAATTTTGTTATGTGCTTTTTAATGTGAAATTTCTATTTATCTATATGATCTTGGTCAATTTAATAACTTTTTTTGTCTGGTTGTTTAATAGGAAAATAAAAGATTTTTCCTCTTCACAAAAATTGGAATATGATAATTATAAAATGCTTTAAATTTCTTGAGAGACTATAGTGCCCGTCGTTTTTATTCATAATTATTAACAATAAAAGCACACTTAATATTATTAAAAACTTATCTTTAAACTTGTGAATTTTAAGAGACATGTAAAATTCATCCCTACTTCCTTTTGGCAGATCTATCTCAAGGTCCTCCCTTGAATTTCCTCATATGGCTCAAAGAAATTTTATAAAGGGATTATTACAGAGGTGTTTATAAGGAATGAAGAAGTTGTGGTGAGGCATCCAGAGACTGGCAACAGTGAAACACCTTAATCATAACTAGGACTGGAGATACAAGTGGAAGAATTAGTGTGAAGAGTCTGAATTGCCTAGAATGTGTAGCTGTGGCTTAGGAGACAGGCTTATTGCAAAGATATGGTTCTGAGCAGGGAGGGAGCAGACTCTTCCCTGTGTTTCCCAGTAGTGAAATTCAATCTGAAGCCAGTAGCAAGGGAGCCAGTCTGTAGTACAGAGGAAGGTGGAGAATATGTTTGGGGGTGGTAAATGGAGATCGAAACATTTTTATCTAGTAAGAGTATTTAATAATACTGTGGCAAGGAGGAATAATACATTATATACTGGCGTTCTAAAACTTGATCTTTGGATCCCTTATAACAAACGAGTTTTTGTTTATGTGGGTTATATCAATGAATATTTATGATATTTGAAATTCAAACAGACTTTTAGTTTATTAATTTATATGACCATTCACTACATATTAACATAAACAACGTTTACAAAAACCTACATTTCCCAGGAACAAGACAAAAATAGGGGAGGAGTAGCATGTTTTAGCAGGTTTTTGCAATTTTGTGATGTCTGCTTTAGTAGAAGACTACTGGATTCTCCTATCTACTTCTGCATATAATGAGTTGTGCTATCTTGCTTGAAGTATATGAAGACACTCCAACTTCACACATAACTTAGAAAAGGGAGAACCTTGCAGACCCACTGAATAGAATTCAAAATCCCCAGGAGTTCTCAGACATTGGCTTACATTAATTTTGTTCAGAGTACATTCTATATGTTAATAGTTGCTGTGGGAGACATAGCTTTGAACTACATTGTGTCTAGTCCCTGTTACAGCAAACATACAGTTTTGCTTAATGTGTAAGCACATATACACAATCATTGCCTAACCTCACTGTATGAGCATATCCACAGTGAAATGACCATGCTGAGAGATACATACATACAAGCTCATGTTCTCCTTTCCCTTGGAAAACCTAATTGTAAATACTCTGCCATTCTTAATTTCCTTTTTAGTTATATAATTGAGATTTTATGTATGTGTCTACTTGATGATCTTCCTGAAAATAAGAAGCCTATCAAGAGTGATTAGAAGGCCTAGGGATATAGCTTAGTGGTAGAGCACTTGCCTAACGTGTGTAAAGCCCTGCGTTCCATCCCCAGCACTGCTCCCCTGCCCCACAAAAAAAAAAAAAAAAGGAAAGTTTTATTTTTTTATTGTCTTGGGGAAAGTTGACTTTTGATATGAATATTCCAGAATAGAGTTCTTAAAAGACTCTATTCTGGAATAATTCTTTTTTTGTAAACAATTACTTTTTATTATATTACCCATTTTTCCTAGTGATAAGGATTTTTTGAAGAGCTTTCTTTGTTTAATCTTATATTTATTTCAGAACTTTGTCACTTTCATGTGAGAATATGGTCTTCTAATAGAATTTAACATATTTGCAAAAAAATCATGAAATAAAAATAAAGTAAATCAAAGGTAATATTCATAAAATTGTTGCATATATAAACTGTTGTTGTGTATGTTTATGTATAAACTTATAAGCATTTTCTTTTTATATTTTAATTGTACTAAAGTGATAACATATGTCATAATATTTGAAATTATCAGTACAGGGATTCTTTCCCATGTAGTGCTTGTAATGGATGGCATGCAGAAACTGTCACAAAAATAAATCAGTTTTATATGGGATTAGTTTCTAATGAAGGCAAATTTACTATTTAAATGTAATAACCTTTTTATTTCCCAAAGAAGATTAATGAAATATTTTCCTTCTCCCCCAAAGGAGCTACTGCTTTCTGGCATGCCAGAAATTGATGTGAGTGATTGGATAAAAAATACAGAATACACAAGTGGCTATGAAAGAGAAGATCCAGTTATTCAGGTAAAAATCTCTCTAGAGCTTAAAATGAAGTTAAATTTGCCATTTAATTTTGTAAGCTTTTCAGCACTATTGGATGATAACCTACATTAATTAACAAAGTAAAGTTTCCCCATAAATTTTTCTTGTGGGAATATTGCATATAAAAGCTTTGTGTGAAATCATTATTGATAAATGAGTTTCATAGAATAAACTATGCTTTATGAATATTGCGTATTTCTTTGGTATTGAGTCTATATTTGTTCTAAAATATGAATTTTTGTTGTTAGTGGTTCTGGGAAGTTGTAGAAGACATTACTCAAGAGGAGAGAGTTCTTCTATTGCAGTTTGTTACTGGCAGGTAAGAAGTGTTTTTATGATGACATAGAGAGAGTTTAATGTATTTTATTTCTAATGGCTTAGAAAATAACCATAGAGAAAAATAAAAATAACCATAGAAAATAACCATAGAGAAAAAAAAAACTTATTGGTATCTTACCTCTTTTTACTATTTTAGGTATTAAATAAAGATTTATGTGGTACTAAAGATAAAACATTTATAGTAGTACTTGATAAATGTTTAACACATTGAAAAGACAGTTCCAACTAGGACTTTTAAACAATAACTTATTATACTTAAATAATCTTATTACATCTGAATAATTTGTTTATCTTTGAAGTATATTTTATAATTTGGTAGTCTTTTCATTTTACAGTAGCCAAATTTATAATCTTTATGTTACTGACTTGTGTTTAGTACAAAGGATATTCAGTTTGCCCTGGATAAATCATAAATATACACATTGACACACAAAGCACATTTTATATATGCATAGCAATTTTGAAAAATTTATATATGCATAGCAATTTTATCAAATAAGAAAATTCTTATCAAAACTTTGCAATGTTAAGATTCATGGTCTAAAAAATAATTTGTGATTAAATATTCTTTGAAGAGTTCACTTATAGGGTAAATTAAATATAATAATGACATTAGAAAATAAAATGTCTTTAATATCGGATAAATGGATTTTCAGTTTTTTAAAAAATTTTGTATTCTAGTTTGTTATATATGACAGCAGAATGCAATACAATTCATATTACATGTATAGAGCACAATTTTTCATATCTCTGGTTGTATACAAAGTATATTCACATCATTCGTGAATATATTGTTTTCTTCTATTGGTGAAAACATAGTTCAGTTTTTGCATGAGTAAATGTGTAGATCTTCTGAAAGTTAGGAAACAGAAAATTACTTCACCAGCAGTAACTACTATAAACAATTTGATGTTACATATCTCTTTTTCTGCACATTTAAAAAAACAACCATCAATGTGTATCTATATAAAGCATATATAATTTTGTAAAATCCATTATTTTCTTGTTTTAAAAGTAGCATATAACCAGTATAGAAAATTTTAAAAATGGAGACAAAAAGAAAATTGTTAAGTAATCTCACTATTTAGAGATAACTACAAATAATATTTTGCTTTATTTTCCTAGTCTTTTAACTATATAAATAGAAAAATAGTTGAGTCATACTATAAATCTAATTTTAATTAGTAAATGAAACATGACTTAACAGATTGTAGGCTAAATGTATGAAAAAAACTTTGTTTTCAGGTTTATTTGGTGTCTGAGTACCAAAAGATACTCAAGAGATTTGAGTGATTTAATAAAAAGAATTAAACATTAATTATATTTTCTATGTAGAAAGGTTAAAAAATTCAGATAAAAAAGATTCCCCTCCCATCTTAATCCCTAACGATTACCATTATTAACATTTTGGTTATTCTTCTAGAATTATTTCCATATATATAATATTCCACTGTTCTTATTTATATTTTTTTGAATTTAGGAGTAGATTATTAAAAATTGTTCTGTTTATAGATTATATAATTTCTCAAATGACTACCTCTTCTCTTTATTAAACTCCCTTAATTTCTCTTATCCTTTATTTCTAAAATTCCCTATTTATAAATAATGCTGTACAAATAAGGAATTCTAATGCTTATATCCTCATGGGCCACTCTGATTATTTATATTGGATACGTTCTTAGGAGGAAAATATTTGGATATAAGAGTATTTGGGGTAAGGGGTATAGCTCAGGGGTAAGAGTGATTGCCTTAGCATGTGCAAGGTCTTGGGTTCAATTCCTAGCACCTGAAGGAAAAAAAAAAAGCAAGATGTTAATTTTTATAACATTGATACATATGATTCATTTACCTTTCAAGGAGGTATCATTATTAACATTTGGAATGAGGAGATTTAGTACCTATTTTTTTTTTAGTCAACACAATGTATGATCATTTTTATTTTGCTATAATTTCTTATCATATATAACATTTTGTGTGGTATGAATTGCCTTTTATTTTTGCCATTATTCCATAGTCATATTTAAAAACTCATTTTCTTCCCCTTTGGGAATGAACCCAGGGCTTTATACATGCTAAACAAGTGCTTTACTTCTGTGTTTATACCCTTATTTCTTTTTAAAAATTTTGAGACAGTTCCCCTAAATTGCCCAGGCTGGCCTTGAACTTTCTGTCCTACTCCCTCATCCTCTGAAGTAGCTGGGATTACTCAGGCTGGCTCACTGGCTCCTTTGTTTTCTTCCTCCCTTCTCTCTCCATTCATCCCTCCCTCCCTCCCTCCCTCCCATCCATCCATCCATCCATCCATCCATCCATCCATCCATCCATCCTTTTCGTGTTAATAATTGTCTTAATGAGTGTAAAGTGATATTTTATTGTGGTTTTTGATTTGCATTTACCTGGAGATTAGTGATGTTGAGCATCTTTTCCTGTGTTTATTGGTCATTTGTGTATCTTTGAAAAAATGTGCCATCCTTTGCTGATTTTTTTTTTTTAAATCATGCTGTTTTGTATTGTAGGTGTTTTAAAAAATATATTGTGAAAATCAGTCCCTTATCAGAGTTTAGATTTCTAAATATTTTTCCTATTCTGTAGATGATCTTTTAATTGTATTGACAGTGTCCTTCAATGAACAAAATTTAAAATTTTGATAAAGTACAGCTTATCTGTTTTTTATTGTGTTGCCTGTGCTTTTGGTGTCGTACCCATGAAATCATTGCCAAATCCAGTGTCCTGAAGCTATTTTCTATATTTTCTTCTAGGATTTCACAGTTGTAGCTCTTGTGTTTAGGTCTTTGGTGCATTTTAGGTTAATTTTTGTATATGGTTTAAGGCAGGGGTCCAAATTTTTTTTTTTTTCCTTAAATCTAGTTTTCCTAGTGTATTTCGTTGAATAGATTGCTCTTTACCCATTGAGTGTTCTTGGCATTTTTGTTGAAAATGATTTGGCCATCAATGCAAGAGATTAGTTCAGGGCTATCTATTCTACTACATTGGTCTGTATGTCTGTCTTTATGCCACCATGCACTGTTTTAATTACTATACTTATAAGTTTGAAATCAGGACGTGTAAGCCTCCACCTTTGTTGTTTTTCAAGATTGTTTTGGCTATTTTGAGTTTCAGCATTTTTTTAAGTGGACTGAATTATGCTTTATACTATGAATTGTGTTAAAAATATTTCAAATTCTAGTCATGTATTACCTATTTAAATGCTTCCTTGTCATAATTCTAATTATCCAAAAGCATCTTATTAAGCATCTCTTATTTATTTATTTATTTATTTATCTATCTATCTATCTATCTATCTATTTATTTATTTATTGCTTGCGATTCTGGGGATTGAATCTGAGATCTCATGCCTGCTAGGCAAGTACTTTACCACTGAGCTATATCTCTAGCTCACAGCATCTTATTTTAAAAGCAACCAAGTTTTTTCTAGGATCAGTTTGTTTAATCATGATATATACACAGACTAATTTTAAATATTAATTTATTTTCAAATATGTAAGAATTGAGAGCTTATAATTAAATCCTCTATAGCCATTTACCCAATATTAAAATTTCTAGTAATTTGTGTTATGCATTAACTTTTAGCTTTCCTGTGGCCTCATTCTGTTAGATGACTTTTTTTTTTAAACACAATACCTTTATTTTATTTACTTTTTTTTTAAATGTAGTACTGAGGATCAAACCCAGTGCCTTATACATGCAAGGCAAATGCTCTACCAATTGAGCTGCAACCCCAGCCCCATATTAGATGACATCTTAAAAATATATTTGGTGGGTCTGGGGTTGTGACTCAGTGGTAGAGTGCTTGCCTAGCATGTCTGAGGCACTGGATTCAATTCTCAGCACCACATATAAATAAATGAATAAAATAAAGGTTCATCAACATCTAAAAAATAATTTTAAAAAATACATTTGGTATTCTGTTTATCTAGAAAGAGAAATGTAAAGAATTTTCTACTATGAAAAATAGAACAACAGAAAACACTTTAGATCTAGATATTTTTCACAAAGAGGTAAACCATTTGGATTGCAACATGTAAGAGCCTTTGTTGCTTAAATTAATCAATCAAACATTTATTTATGTAGCAAATATTTAATGTCTACTAGGTGCCAGGCATTTTAAAAAAATATTTTTTTAGTTGTTGATAGACCTTTATTTTATTTGTTTATATGTGGTGCTGAGAATCGGACCCAATGCTTCACACATGCCAGGCAAGTACACTACTGCTGAACCCCAGACCCAGCCCAGATGCCAGGCATTTTGCTAACTCCATTGATACAGATATAAATATGACATGTTTGAGCCATCAAATCAGTCCCAGTTTAGTAGGGAGGCACAAGAAAGCAAACTACAAATGCACCTTGCTAAATTAAATAGTAGATGTATGTGCTGTGACCATTTTTAAGTATAGTATATAGTTGATAGAAATTTGGAAGGGTAACTGGCCACAAATGCAAGAATGAGTTGGGAATTTTGTAGACTAAGAGCATCTCTTATTTATTTATTTACTTATTTATTTATTATTATTTCTTTCAACATGCTATCTTGTCATTGTTCTAGAGTTGAATATATTCTTACTCTAACTTAGAGCTTGAAACATATCTGTTGGACAAAATGTTTTCTTTCATGATAAGAACTTATGATACAAACTCTTAGTTCCAGGGTCCCGCATGGTGGGTTTGCTAATATCATGGGTGGAAGTGGATTGCAAAACTTTACAATTGCTGCTGTGCCATATACCCCAAATCTTTTACCAACTTCAAGCACATGGTAAGTTAGTTTGTTTAAATGCGTTGTGCATTGTTTTGGTTAATTTTAAATGATCAGAGGTCTAACTGTTATATATTGAAAGGAAAATCTCAACTATGATCTCTGTTCAGAATTTTGGAATCATATATATATAAGTCATTACATAGCTTTTGTTGCCTTCCTTTTTTTGGTTGGGAAAATATTTTGAGAAACCCTAACTACCTAATGTTTAATTGAATATGGTTCAAGTATCACTAAAATTCTGTTGTCAAAAGTATCACTGAATTACTATCACTTGAATTACTACCCTTATAAATTGCCCACCCTTGTTTATTTTACCCTAAAAGGAATTTATTTTCTTCTACTACATTTTCATGCTGAAAGAAACTGCAGTGCAGCAGTTTTTTTTTCTTTTTAAATACTACTTCAGGGTTTTCCAATTTGAATGCAAATTTTAGAGTGGTTTTATGTTAATTATGAGTAGTATTTTCACTGCTAGATAAAACAATGAGAATTTTCATGGATTCTCTGTTTAATGGTAGTATATTTTTATTTTAAAGCATCAACATGCTCAAGTTACCTGAATATCCAAGTAAAGAAATACTCAAGGACAGACTTCTTGTGGCACTACATTGTGGCAGCTATGGTTACACAATGGCATAATGGAGTCCAGAAGACCCATCTGACTACTGATGCACAATTCAGAGTGGTAGAATCAATTTAGAAAACTGTCAACAGAGAAGCAGCCTAAATGCAACCCATAGGCAGGGCTGATGCTTAAAATTTATAAAGGATCAAGTTTTCTGTTTTCTTTCTGTTTTCCCATTTATGTTTTCTCTGTGATACAGTTTGAGAATATAAAAATCACAGTAGACTTCATTTTAAAAATGTTAATTGAAAGTAGAAACTTTTTTTTCCCTATTTCTTTAATCTGATTTAAGATTTTGTTAAGGCAAAATCTTATTCTACATTCCACATGTGCTATGTAACTGTACTGTTAAAAGGGTATTTTCTCTTATTTTCCTATATATTAAATTATATGAGGACATCCAACTGGTATGTTCTATTGCATGTAAAGTGCCATTTATATTTTGGAAAACTATTGTATAGAATGGATTAATTTAGATTGTGTATAAAGTTACAAATATGTATTTTCCCACGTTGTATCTATATTGCAATGATGTTTTTTTAGCTTTTTAGTATTTTAATATATAATATAAAATTTAGGCTGATTAATAACAAACAGCTGATGAAATTAAATCTGATTTATATATTAGAGCTTAGACTATATTATGAATTATTTGCATTTTTCCATGGTCAGTTTTCACATGTACAATATTGTGGCTTTGAAGTTTTTCTTATGCCTTATTTTAATTTGTAATGAAGGTAAAATTAAAATATAGTATTTTACTGTATTTCTTTACATTTGTCTGTAAACTCTGATGACATATTTGAAGAAGTAATCTGTTCTGTAGGTTACAATTTAAGTATGTAATGTTTTATTTCTTAAGTTTGCTTTTTGTAAACTTTTGCTCAAATGAAATGCCTAAATACAGAACATTGGGTTTTTGAATTTTTGGATGATCCAGTCAATTTGTTTGTTTATTTATTTATTTTGGAAAAGCCACACAGGATAAGGACATGCATTTAACAGGAGGCAGGCATGTTCCAACGTTGTATACTGATGGAGCACCTTGCTTCTGGCAACTAAAAATATCCAGTGGTGTTTTTGATGAGCAGCCAGTGTATTTGTTCAGTGACATTTAACCAAGAGATTTATACACTGAAAGTAACAAAAACATGACCCAAACAATATAAAAAATTTTCTTTATTATCTAGGGCTCTGTTTTGTTACTTTTTTAATATTAAGAAAATAATCTCAAGAAATTACATGAAATATTAGGAATTCTTTAAAAACTAATCTAGTTTTGAAAGTCTTAATTGGTTTTTGTTTGTGATTCTAGAATTTAACAGTTCTCAGCACCAGGATGAGTTCAGAGAACTACAGTCTGCTGTGTAGTTGAAAAGCATTAATGGATAGAAAATGGAAATGAGGTACAGAGATAGCCCTATTGGTTACAGCTCAGCATTGGCCTGTTTGAACGTGGTTAAAACATTTGACTGCTTACAGATTGACTGAAGCCTGTCTGCTGTATTGGCTGAAACTTAGCTATTTGTTATGAGAATATACTCCTAAATGATGTTTTCAGTTTGTTATATAAAGGTCCAAATAAGAGACTTCATCAGGCCAAATTAAGTTTAATGATTTCTCCCTTTTGGTTGTCCTCCCAATTTTGAGAGATTGACTAAAACTTTGGACTTTTGCACCATTCTCTGCCACCATTATAAATAGACTTAGTTGGTCTCAATATGGAATTCACATGTGAAAGTGTCACTTCACTTGCATAATTCTTTATGTTCTTGCTGGTCTAGTTGAAGTGAGATCATTCAACACTCAAGGTTTGAGTGGAGATAAGGTGCACCGGGGGATTTTATGATGACTTCCAGGAAAATAATCCCAAAAGATTGAAGTGTACTCCTGAACAAGAGCTTCTATAAACTGAAATAATCAAAATTAATCAAACTTCAGGCAGTGTAAATATAGTTTAACAGTATTTAAGTCCAGTTGATGTATAGTGTTGTATTCGGCCTATGTTGTTGGTGAATACCATAGTTTGGTATAGAATGGTCTGGTTTAATGAAGTATCCAATTGTATTGTTAGCCTATCATTGCAATTAGTAGTGGCGATTGAACTGAGGGTCTTGTGTGTGCTAAGCCTTCATTCTATATCTGAGTTAATGTCCCTAGCCCAATTAAGTATTTTAGAACACATGTTATCATATATTTTTTGAAGGGTGACTTTTAAAGATTTTTTAAAAATTTTTATTTTTTTGAGATGGAGCCTTGCTAAATTGCCCAGGCTTTCTCCAATTCGGGATCATTCTCCCTCAGTCTTCTGAATGTCTGGGATAAAAGGTGTGTTCCATGGGCTGGGGTTGTGGCTTAGCAGTAGAGTGCTCGCCTCGCACATGTGAGACCCTGAGTTTGAGCCTCAGCACCACATAAAAATAAATAAGTGAAATAAAGGTATTGTGTCTATACAACTAAAAAAAAAAAAAAAGCATGTTCCAGCCCCACTGGTTTTTGGTGGGTGACTTGATTTATCTACACCTCTGGGAATGTCTGGTTGGCCACAAAATGCAAGATTTTCTCCCAATTGAATTAGTTTCAGGTTTAATACTACTGGTATCCCACAAGTGCCAAGAGTGAGCCCTCTAGGAACCCCAGTGGGAACCTTCCCTTAGTAGAGAGGCTTATGTTTATGAGCCTCAACAATGGCTCTAAATTTGTCCTTTAAATGAGAGCAATTATCATGGCTCCTGCTTTCATCATAACAAAAATCAGGGCTCCAGGGTTCCCAGAGAGCTCTCAATTCTGCTTTTAGGACACAAGAATGCCATCCATAAAAACCTGGAGATACAGCAGGAGGCAGAGCTTACAGAGCGCTGTAATCCTGGGGCACCTGACATAATTTGGATGTATTCAAAGGAAATATGTATGGTTTGGTTTTTTTCAGTATTGCGTGCGGTATCTGCCACTTTCTACACTCCAGCCCTGCAGAGACTGGCAGGAGAATCGGGTTGGAGCTGGGTGTGGTGGGGTGGTGGTGAGAGTCCGGTGAGGAAGGGCAGCCTGGTGCCACCTCTGCCCCACCCAGCACCATCCCTGCTGCAGCAGCTCTGCTGAGCTCTTGAGGTTGCTTTGGGAACATCTTCAGTTCACTCTTAATCCCATGGTGGTCACTTCCCTTTATGTAGTGGCAGGAAAGAAATGTCCACTTTGGCTATAGTAGCCGGGCAGTAAAGTCTGAGTTGTGACGTGATTCCTTACACTAAATTCACCAAAGCATAACCTCAGAGGATGTTAAGCAAGATTCCTCGTTTTTTGCATTAGACTCAATTTCTCTGCAATTTTGACACCACCAAAATCCTAAGCTTGGATCCATCAAGATAGTCATGATGAACTGGATCACTAGAAACATCTACATCTGTTTCTTCCTGGTGGCAGTGGGTCTTAGGCGTGTCAGTCCTGAGTGGAAACCTCCCTCCTGGAGTCCCCAAAATGTTTTCCAAAGCATTCTTTTAAAATGCCATCTCTCTCAGAAGTGCCCTCTGCTATATTTTCCTTTATGAAAAAATGGGAAAGTAGTTTTGAAATCCCACATTACCTGTCAGGAGAGTTACACAAGATGTGAACCAGATGCCAAGTGTGCAAGGATGTTACCAATGCCTGTGCCTGCAACCCACCTGCAGGGAACAGACGGAAGCCACTGCCCCCAAACTGGGCCCTCTTTTCACCTGACCTTCTGAAAGGAGAGAATGCAGTGAAGTGGATTTTTTTTTTTTTTGAGGCATCTCTTATTTTGGTTTGGGGGTTTTCCATATTTTATATATATATATATATATATATATATATATATGATCAAGAGAATTCCAAAAGTTTTGGTTAACAGGAAATAAAATTGGAAGTGGAAATAAAGAATGGAATGAAACTCAGCTCTCCCCAGATTGAACACATATGGGCATCACAATCTATTGAAACAGCTACACTTTTCCCTGCTGGGAAGGCACCTGTGGCTGGAAGGTCTTAAAGCTCACTTTTTCTGTCCCAGGGACTTTTCCAAGCTTTTTTTTTTCAGACACACTTGACAGTGGAGCAAGAGCCGTCCTCCGCCCTCCCTGGTTCAAAGGGTTGCCATTGTTCTTTTGCTCTTATTTTCTCATCAAATCGAGACTTTCGGGAAAGTCTGGAAATATACTCCTTTTAAAGCAGCAAACCAGGAAATATATTCCTTTTAAAGATAATTTGAAAATTAAAAAACAAAACCGAATATCTCAATAATTGCAAGATGCAGTGACTTTTTCCCCAGGCTGGGCTTAGAGGTATCCCCAGGCCCGACTCTGGAGCTAGAATGATAAGCAAGGGCAATGTCGCCCAAAACTTGCCCAGGGTGGTCTGGGGACCAAGTCAGCTGAGAAGCTGGCTCAACCCCAAGCCCTCCTTCTGAGTCAGCATTCATTCGAGAGGCAATCGCTGCCCAGGAACTCTGTGGGCTCAAGCTCCACGCATCTTGTGGCAGTTGTAATCCAGGGTGGTGGTGTAGATGGTCTTGGGGTACTTCGGGTAGACAATGATGGTGCTTAGGAAGCGTGTGGGCTTGGGGCGGTGCTCAAAGCGCACCTCAGCCTTGTAGTTGCGCCCTGTGCCATTGGGGATGCAGGTGACTGGCTGCAGGAGGCCACTGCCAGGCCCAGGGGCAGCTGCACATCATCAATGAAGTGTCGCTCCGAGTCATACTTGATTGAGGAAGTGTACCTTACTTCTATTGATGGTAAGGGGTCAAACTCCACACCTTCGCCAAAGGACAGGGGGCACAGCTTTGGTGAGCAGCTTACAGCCAGGGTGTTGGGGAGAGAGGCTGGGTTCGGGGCCGCTGGGGTCACCACCGCATCGGGCTCCTGCATTCCGGGGGCCGGCGCGCGCTCCCCGCCGCCAGCGCCATCCCCGGCCGCCGCCAGCCCCCAGTGGCTGGGGCTGAGGGGCAGCCCCGAATCCGGGCTGTCTAGGACGCCGTCGCCCTTCTTCTTCGTGTCCACGAGCTCGGGCACATCCTGCAGGCTCAGCCGACCCACCATGGCTGTGTGCGTGGCGGGCTCGGTAGTACACGGCGTGGGGGCCGCGGATGAGAGGGACTAGAGGGGCGCACACGCGGCCCGAGGCGCTGCCCTCAGGTCGGCCCTCGGTGCCCGGCTGCCCCGCGTCGTCGGGGTCTTGCCCCGAAGTATCTAGGTTACAGATCATGAAGGATTTGATTGTCCTCCATTGTTGACTCACAAAAAGCTTCCTTTACCTGGTTAAAATGCCCCTGGGCATCATGCATTAAAGCCTGGCATCATTTATTCATAGGAGTTTAGGAGAGTGGGGAAAGAGGAGATCCTGTTATCTTGGGCATAGGCTTCCCAGTGCCTGTTTCATAAAGGGATGGACTTTTGTTTTCCACAGTGGGGTCAACCTATAATACCTTTGGCCAAGGCAATTCAGTTGATTCAGTTAGCTTTGCCTAGGGCTATTGTAATATTTTACTTACTGTTTTACAGTTTATCCAGTGAAATGGATACACCCCTGTTGCTGATGTCTCCAATAATTCCCCACAAGAGAAACACATTTCTGAATAACCTTTTAGTTACCTGTTACAGCACCAGGTTTCCTGCATGAGTAAGTTTCTATACAACCAGAAAACATGCACTGAAACTGCCAGTCGAATGAAGTCCCCTGTAAATTTTCAAATGGCCCATTAGGTAATAGAAACATACTTAATGTTTTGTCTGCTCAGGGTTGTGGGTTACATAAATGGAACATTGGTCATAAACCTTTTTAGCAATTTTAGAACAGTCACCATACCAATATTTTCTCATAATTTGGATCATTTATCTTTCCATGAGGAGTCATAAAGTGAAGAGCTTTTAGTACTGGAAATTTTAGAGACTCAGACTGGTGGCTGTCCAGGCACTCATGAGCCTTGGCTTGGTACTAGATTTATAACTTGTACCAATTTTATTTGTTCAATTCAGGTATAGCACTATTTATTAAACAAATTGTCATGGGTAATTTGACTTGGATCAATCAGATATCATTCCAATTGCATATCTTCACAATTTTAGTACTGCCTGACCCAGCATGAAAATCTGCCTCAGTATTTCCTTAGTATTTAATTAATTCTTGTTCTGCTTGATATTGGGTTAGCAATTTTTTATTCTAATTTGTTATACATAATAGCAGAATGCATTACATTTTATATTACACATATAGAGCACAATTTTTTATATCTCTGGTTGTATATAAAATATATTCACACCATTCATGTCTTCATACATGTGCTTAGGGTAATGAAATCCATCTCATTCCACCATCTTTTTTTAGCTCCATGACCCCTCCCTAGAGTTCATCTAATCCTCTCATGCTTCCCTTCCCAACCCCACTATGAATCAGTCCACTTATATCAGAGAAAACATTCGGCATTTGGTTTTTGGGGTTTGGCTAACTTCACTTAGCATTATATTCTCTGACTCCATCCATTTACCTGCAAATGCCATGATTTTATTCTCTTGTATTATTTATTCCATTGTGTATATATGCCACATTTTTTTTTTATCCATTCATCTATTGAAGGGCATCTAGGTTGGTTCCAAAGTTTAGCTATGGTGAATTGTGCTGCTATAAACATTGATGTGGCTGTGTCCCTGTAGTATGCTAGTATGCTCATATGTAGTCCTTTGGGTATAGACGGAGAAGAGGGATAGCTGGGTCAAATGGTGGTTCCATTCCTAGTTTTCCGAGAAATCTCCATACTGCTTTCCATATTGGCTGCACCAATTTGCAGTCCCACCAGCAATATATGTGTTCCTTTTCTCCCACATTTTCACCAACACTTATTATTGTTTGTGTTAATAACTGCCATTCTGACTGGAGTGAGATGAAATCTTAGAGTAGTTTTGATTTGCATTTCTCTAATTGCTAGAGATGTTGAACATTTTTTCATATATTTGTTGATTATATATCCTCTTTTGGGAAGTGTCTGATCAGTTTGTTGGTCCATTTATTGATTGTTTTGTTTGTTTTTTTTTGGTGTTTAGCTTACTGAGTTCTTTTATACCCTCAAGATTAGTGATGTGTGAGTAGTAAAAATTTGCTCCCAAGATGTAGACTCTCTATTCATCTCACTGATTGTTTCTTTGTCAAGAAGAAGCTTTTTAGTTTGAATCCATCCCATTTATTGATTCTTGATGTTAATTCTTGTGCTATCCCATTTATTGTTCTTGATTTAATTCTTGTGCTATAGGAGTCTTACTAAGGAAGTTGGGGATGAGATTCATCTGGAAAAATAAGAGACCCAGAATAGCTAAAGCAATCCTTAGCAAGAAGAGTGAAGCAGGTAGCATCACTATAATACAGAGCAATAGTAACAAAAACAGCATGGTATTGGCACCAAAATAGACTGGTAGACCAGTGGTACAGAATAGAGGACACAGAGACTAACCCACATAATTACAGTTGTCTTATAATAGACAAAGGTGGCAAAAACATACATTGGAGAATTGATAACCTCTTCAACAAATGGTGCTGAGGAAACTGGAAATCCATATACAACCAAATGAAATTAAACCCTGTCTCTCACCATGCACAGAACTCAACTCAAAGTGGATCAAAGAAAGGAATTAAACCAGACACACTGTGCCTATTAGAAGAAAAAGTTGGTCCAAATCTCCATCATGGGTTAGCAATTTTATAAACGAGTAACATTATTTATTAAGAGTTCTGAAAATTCTTATCCAGTCTAATAGTATGATCTTAAAGTTACTAGAAACCTATACTCATCAGAGTCCTTTCCATGAATCACCTTGAAGACTCAACAATTTAGGTTACAGTTTCTTGCAAAGAGCTTCCATAAAAATATCAGAATAGAGCAATTAACTTTGGACAAGACTTAAAATGGCCAGGTCTGATGAGAGTTCTTTACATTAATAATGAAAAAAAAAAAGCAAGGAAAATCAGCCTTTTCTTTTGTTTACATTTAAAAATTAACAATTATGACTAATAATACTATACAAAAATATGAGATTTCTATGAAATTCATCTACTTTTTGAAGCATATTAATAAAATCATGTAAGTATATCTAAAGAAGGTTTAGCACTTCTTATTTGTCAGTGCTCCCCTATAATCTAGCATATCAGGTAAATATAATTTGTTTAGAATCTCTCTCTCTCTCTCTCTCTCTCTCTCTCTCTCTCTCTTTAAGGTTCTCACCTTGTATATATCCTTTGCAGCTTTCCAGGGAACTGGAAAATCCAAAAGTTAATTTAAGGTCAAGAAAAAGTGTTGATTTAGAATCTGATTCTGGGAAGTTCATAAAAAATATCAAAAGTTTAAGACATTTGACCAAAATACGAACACAGGTCATGGTGAACAATAGTCATCCATTTAACCAAGGTGAAAATTAATAGTGTTTAAAGGCAAATATAGAAGATTACACAGATTAAAAAACCTTAGCTCTATAATCCAGAAGACTCAGTTTTCTCAATGATTTAATATCAAAGACTTAATCAGAGACTTAATAAAGACAAACTGAACCACTGGAAACCATCTTGATAAAACAGAACTTTTGTTTCCAAGGCATTTTCCTTTAGGTATAAAGAAAAACCCTTTCCTATTAAGAGCAGATCAGTAGCCAAGAAAACATTTTGACAGGACCAAATTTTTGTTTTGCATCATTATACTTTTTATTTGAATGCTCAATTTTTTAGAAAAGCACAAGCAATTCTCTTCCAGTTGGGGCCATCTTGGTCATATAAAGTGTCTACCACAAAATCACTCTTCCTTCTAAATCTTTTTATGTCCTTTCAGTTATTTGTCTTGCCTCTTTGTCATTTTATAACAGCAATCATTTTACTGTAGGACAAAAATTATTCTCTGTCAACATAAACACATCTTTCATTTAAGATTCTCTTACCCCAAACATGTTTTACTTCCCTCACATATGGGGTTGTTTAAATTCCCATGTATTAATTAGAATTTTTATTTCTGCTAACCTTAACTTATAGTGAAACTTCAGAAAATAGGATTTTTAACTTTTGTACACCAGAATTTTATGAAAATACATTTCATAATTTCTAGAAATATGTAGAACATTTTTTTTTCCTTTTAGACACACTGTGGTTTTTTTTTTTTTCCTCAAGGCTGAGGTTTGAACTCCAGGCCCCACACATAGGAGGTAAGTGCTCTACCACTGAGCTGCCTGTCTCCAGTCCTAGTTTTTTCAGTGTGGAACAGGACATATTTACTAACAGATCCAATTATATTTTGTCTTTCAATAAAATTAAAGAAGCCAAAAATAACATAATCTTTATGTTCAGCAATTAATATTTCAGCACTTTATCTTACTTGGAAATGATCTGATTAGTCAATGACTATTCATCATTCAGCTTAAATTAACAAAATTCTAAAGGTATAAGTTACTTTTAGAAGATTTGAAAAACTTTTTAGGTAAAGATATGAAACATAATTATTAGGGGCTGGGATTGTGGCTCAGTGGTAGAGTGCTTGCCTGATATGCATGAGGCACTGGGTTTGATTCTTAGCACCACGTATAAGTAAATGAATAAAATAAAGGTCTATCAATAACTAAAAAAAAATAAAAAAATTATTATTAAATAGTTAATTTCTAAACTTTTATCCCACTAACACCTTAATTTACTTATTCTTAACAATTATGCTTAGACTGCTGGTGAAAATTCCAGGAGACATTAGAAAAAAGCTATCCATCATCTCAAATTTTTATTTCCCTGTTAACCATTTTCACAGCATCTACTTGTCAGGCCTATCATCAAAACAAGAAGTCTAAAGCTAAATTTCTTTTTTCTTCTCAGATATCACAGCCTTTTCCATTAAGCCAGCAACATTAGTCTTATTTACCAAAGATTTAGCCATGTCACATAAACCTGAAAAATATTTGAGTTATTTCGTGTTTTTATCGGATAATACAATAGTCCTCCTTATCTACAGTTCTTCTGTCTGTGATTTCAGTTACCTTGCAGTCAACCCTGGTTCGAAACTATCAAATGGAAAATTCCAGGAAAAGTTCATAGGTTTTGGAGGGCTGGGGATATGGCTCAATTGGTAGAGTGCTTAACTCGAATGCCCAAAGCCCTGGGTTCAATCCTAAGCACCACCAAAAAAAA